CCACCCCCACACAACTCCAGGCTCTCCTGCCCCATGAATCCAGTCCTCCCATTCACCACTCACTCTCCCCATCCCACCCCTCTGTGCCCCCCAAGGAGTGCCCTCCCCATCACAAACATTAATGAGGCTTCGGCAGCTGATAAAGCAGACCTGCTTCTGGGGTTCTCACCTTCTGGGGGTTGGGGAAAGACCCAGCCCAGGAGCAAATAAACAAACACAACTACAGCTGTCCCTGAGCCACCAGGATGGCTAAGGACATGCCTGGCTCTCTCTTGTCTGCTAGGGTTGCACAGGCTGTGCCCTCTGCCTGGGATGTTCTTCTCGAGCGCCCTGGCAAACTCCTCTTCACCCATCAAAGCCCCAACTCCAATGTCCTCCCCTGCTTCTAGCCCTCCCAAGACGCTCCAGCCCTCATCCTTTCCATCTGGCCCCACCCTGACTTCACAGGGTGGGGGCAGTTTGTGGTCCTCCAGACTGTTCTGCTGTCCTTGTCATGACTGGTAAAGAGGGCCCTGTTGTCACCTCCAGGGAGACTCCAAAGCCCCACAGTGATTGGCCCAGCCACATTCACATGCCCATCCCTGAACCAATCCCTGAGTCCGTGGTGACAAAAACCTCTGATTGGCCAGACCTGGTCACCTGTCTTCATCTGGAAGCAGGAAGTGGACCTGGCTCCTTCTGCCCACCAAAATGTGTGCAGGAAGAGTAGATGCCCTCAGGACCATTTTGCCAAGGACTCAGGGGTCCCCTGAGTACCAGGATGCCTGCTGCATCCTGGCTGGGGAGCCTTGGGCCAAGTCACCTGCTCTCTTTTCCTCAGTTTTTCTACCTGTGAATTGGACTCAGCACAGCTGAGATGCAGGAGCACCGAGGGGCCATCCAGGCACTGCCCTCCCACCGCGCACACTGTTTAGAGGTCCTGTTTACCATGCTCCCTCTGCCCCCATCCTTTCTTGTTCTCTGATTCCCTTGAGATGGGGCAGCACAGCGCGGCGGGCGCTGATGGCCGCCGGCTGAGTCACCACTTCCTCCTGGGCGCCTTGCCCGGCCCGATGCTTTCTGGGGACTTTCCTGGCCTTCCCCGAACATCAAAACAAGGTGGGGGGGGGGTGTGTGACTCCTGGGCCAGGGAGGCAAGGGCAGAGATGTGTGTGGACAAGGTGAAGTGTATGCTGGCGTGGACTCAAATCCCACATCCTGTCCCCCCTGCAAAGAAGCCATAGCCTCCTCAGAGTTGAGGGACTCCACACGTGAACACCCCACACACCCTCAACCAGGACCGTGAGTGCCCAGCGCTGGGGTGAGTGTGGTCACTGCTGGCAGACCTGTTTGCACAGGTGTTAGCAGGCACGTGTCAGAGGGTCCGTGTTAGTGGTCTCCCAGTTGCGTGTGCTCGAGTTCACAGGCCCGTTTGTGTCTCTGCTTGTGTGTGTGTGTGCGCCTCGTGGCTGCCCCCGTGTGCAAAGCCCAGTGGGCCTGAAGGACAGACAGACCTACCCCCTTGTTGGAAAACGTTGTCTCTGGCGGTACGGGAATTCCCTGGGCAACAGCCGGAGAACTGGGAGATTCCTGGTGTGTGAGGGGTGGGGTGGGAAACAGTAGGGGCAGGAGGAGGCAGGGGCTGGGGTGGGTCAGGCAGGCTGAGATGAGGAGTCATGTGTCTGAGCCAGAATTCAGGCTGACGACATCAACTCTAAAATAGTCACCAAGCCCTAATTTGTGTGCCTGGCACTGCGGATGTAGTGGGGTCCTGGGGTAACAGACATGTAAGTCAACAGATATGGGACTTCCCTGGTGGTCCCGTGCTTTCAATGAAGAGGGTAAGGGTTTGATCCCCGATCAGGGAATTAAGATCCCACATGCCATGTGGCAAAGCCAAAAAACAAAAACCCTAAACATACAAATATATAACTCTGGGAAGGGCGAAGATCAGAAAGCAAATGCATCAGAGCAGGGGCAAGGCAACTAAGGAGGTGCTCTGGCCAAGGGACTGGAAGGTGAGAGGGAGCTCCAGACGGAAGCCTTGGCACGTGCAGGGTTCCTGAGGCGGGGACTAGCTGGAGGGGGGCCCCATTCAAGAAGATCTAAGCCCAGAGCAAGGAGGGGAGGCATTAGGGGGCAGCGCTGGTGGGGAGCAGGGCTACCAGGACGGGCTGTCCTGTAACTGGAGCCGGGCAGGGACATGCCCCCTGCCCGCCCGCCCCCACTACTGCCTGCTCGGGACAGAATGTGCTGGGAGGAGAGGCTGGTGGTGGCTGGGCCTGGTGGCTGGAGGATTCCTGAGCGGCAGCCCGGCTGGGCCTGCTGCCAGTGAGGGCGGAAAACAAGCAGCAGGCGCCCGGCCTGCCTGTCACCCCATGCCCCGGGCCTGGCCCGGCCAGGGCAGGAGAGCGATGGTGAAAGGGTCAGAGACAGAGAGAGACAGATGGTGACCAAGAGAGGCAGAGAGTGAGAGAGACAGAGATGCAGAGATGGCAAGTCAGACAGAGACGATAAGAGCCAGTGGGAGAGCAACAGGAAGAGGCGGAGATGGGGGAGGCAAAGATGGTGCGAGAGGCAGAAGCAGAGAGAAAGGCAGCAGTGAGAGGCAGAGGGAGACCTGGCCTCGACTCTTAACCGGTGACAGCTCTGATTCTCGGGGGTCCTGGGAATAAACGTGAAGCAGTGACACTCCTACCCCCATCAGAGTCTTTGTTCACACCAGAGTAGACAGGGAATCCCCTCCAGACACTCATACCTGCTGTGTGCTGGGTCCCCAGATACACCCCTGACTTAGCCCGGCTCTCAAGGTCTCAGCCAAAACAATGAATGCCTAAGTACAAATTTCAGAGACTGATGAAGGCAAAGAAAACATAGGTGAGGGAGATGGGGGAGGGAATGATGAGGAGTGGTGACTTTAGGTTGGGCTATCCCTGAAATTTAAGGCTACAGTGTAAAGAGGGGCCAGCTATAGGGAACAGCTTTTTAGCAGAAGGATCAGCATGTGTGAAGCCCCTGAAGTGGGAGTCAGCTTGGGGTGTTTGAGTAGCAGCCAGGGATGCAGGGGGAAACTGGAAGGAGAGGTGGGTAGTGGTCTTAGAGGACCAAGGAGGGGAGGGATTTTATTTCAGAAGAACATTTGGCCACACTCCTCTATACTCTGTGGGCCCCACTCAACATCCAGGGAGTTCCCTGAATTCTGGACTGCCTGGCCTAGCTCCATGCTGCTTGTCATTTATCCAAATCAGAAAATCCGCCTCCTTTAGGGATCAGGTTCCAGAGAGTTGCAGACGCAGGAGTCCTGGGGACACGAGGTAGCTTGTCCTCCCAAGCCCCCTGGGGGAACGTTTCATAGAAGTGTACCCACATCCACTGTTGCAATAAACACCTTAGACTTCTTAGTTTGGGAACATGAATCTGGAAACCGTGATCTGGCGTCTTCCAAAATCCAGCTGATGGGGAACTCAGCCCCACCTGAGGCTGCCATTTGGGGATCTGGGTAACTGTGCTGTAGGAACCTCTCCCCCCTGCCACTGGACCCCCAGGAACCCCAAGTCTGACAAGTTCCAAGCTTGATGGCCAATCAGCTACCCAGGGCAGATACTGCTGGACTGGGAAGACTGGGTGAACCCCAAGACTAGGAGATGTTGGGAATCAGGGCCTAAATTTAGACCAGGGAGGAGAGTGATTAATGTGAGGAGGAAGTGTCCTAGAGTCTCAGATGCAGAAACTGAGGTTCAGAGGCAAGTGACTTCTGAACCCATCATCACAGAGAGCAAAGCCTGAACACTGAGCTCCCAGTGTCCTGCTCCAGGGCCCCCCCGGTCCTCAGTCCTGCCCCTCAGCCCCACCCGTGGCCACTCTGGGCTGCTAGCTAACCTATAGCTCTGTGGGTGCTCAAATGAACCCTGCAGAAGCACATCCACAGCCACCTGAGTCTCAATTATCAGGGGGTGGGGATGACCCAAACGTCCATCAACAGGGGCTGGGTGGATAAATAAAACTTGGTGCATCTATACAATGGAATATTATTTGGCCATCAAAAGGACCGAAGCATGGATTCCTGTTTTAACAAAAGTGGCTGAACTTCATGCTGAGTGAAAGAAGCCAGACAAAAAAGGCCACATATTCGATGAGCTCATCTATATGAAATGTCCAGAACAGGCAAATTCAGAGACCAAAGAAAGCAGATGAGTGTTTGCCTGGGGTTGAGGGAGGAGGAATGGGGAGTGACAGCTCGTGGGGACAGGGTCTCCTTTGGGGCTGATGAGCATAATTGGGAATTACAGGTGATGGTGGCAAAATATTAGAAAGGTCCTAAATGATAAGCACACTTACAAATGGCAAATGAATTGAATCTCAATAAAAGTGGGTTCGATCCCTGGGTCAGGAAGAGCCCCTGGAGAAGGAAATGGCAACCCACTCCAGTATGATTGCCTGGGAAATCCCATGGACAGAGAGAGGAGCCTGGCAGGCTACAGTCCATGGGGTTGCAAAGAGTCAGACAAGACTGAGTGACTCAACAATGACAACAGAAGCAAAAACAGCCCAGACTCCACAGACAGGCAGGATCCTCCTGCATCTGGCCCTGCTCCCACCTGCTCAGCTCCATCCTGTGGAGACAAATGAGGCATGAGGCCTCCACCAGCTTTGCTCCCAGCCTTGCAACTACACTAAAGGGAGAGATGTGGTGTCGGTCTCCCTCTGTGCCCTCGGGCCTCACCTTCACCTTCTGGTCAATGGGCCCCTCAACCCTCCTCGGCCTGGAATTTCATCTGTGATCCAGACCCAAAATGGTGGTCAAGGCCACCCAACCTCCTCAGCACCTGGGGCAATAAACCACTAAGCCTAAGCTCTTCCTCTGTGATTTTTATTTTTTAAAAAAATGTACAAAAGAGAACAACTTAAGGCTTATCAGAAAGGTGGAGTCCCAGGCGGGGGCCCTGCCTCAGCCGGGTCTCTGCACTTGGAGGCTTGTCCAGCTGCCCCATCATATTGTCCCTCTGGGACACAGGGGGTTTTCAGAAGCATACTGTGGCCCTTCTCTGCCCCCCAGGCTGACCTCTGTCCCCATAGCCTGGTTTAATGCTCTGCTGTCCCTGTCTTGAAATCCTCAATTCCTGAACAAGCAGCCCCACGTTTTCATTCTGCAAGTTATGTAGCCGGTCTTGTCTGTCCTCCTTCGAGCCTGTGTTTTTCAGGCCATGCAGTGCCCAGGCAGTGCTCACGTCCTGAAGCGTGAGGAGGGGCCCAGGCACTCCAGTCTGGGGCAGGAGTCTCTGGTTTTCAAAGGTTTTAAGGCTGGAGTTGCTGCACCTGCCACCCTTCAGCTCCACACAGCCCTGATGACCTGCTTTCCTGAATGCCTCATTCCTGGGCCCTCTTTCCTCTCGGACCTTGCAGTATGGCCTCGACTGAGGCATTTGCTCTCTGAACCCCACTCCAAAGATGAAGGGGACGGTCTCCAAACATCAGTCAGCTCGGACCTTCTTCGACTTTTCCTCTCGCTTACCTGCCTACCAAGCTCTTATTCACACATCAAAGCCTTAGCTAAAATGCCCTTTCCCCAGGAAGCCTTCTCCGCTCCCTCTCTGGACTCTCCCAGCTCTGGGTCCTTTCCTTTGGTCCTGTGGGTCTGGAAGTATTTATGTCTGGTTCTGTCGCTCCAAGACTGGAGGCTTCTGAGGGAACACAGGCCAACACAGACAGGTTGAATGGTTTCTCAGATCCTACTATGGATATCTGGTACCTTATGAGGGCCAGTCCAGATATGTCAAGACTCCAGACTGGCTCTTCCCCTGTGTGATGTTGGAATGGCCCTGTTTTGTTCTGAGACTCAGTTTCCCCAACTTCAATGTAGTCAGCCCAGTCTGTTCTTCATCCAGCCACTCCTTGCTATGTCCGTGGTGGCTGGAAGCATGTGTAAACACCTTATTCTTTGACGTTTCCACTTGACACTCAGCAGGTCATGCAGCGGGGCCTCCTGGCCTCAGAGGGTGGGTTTGGATCCTCCTGCCAGAAATGATCCCATCAAGTCTTAGGAGGCCCTGGAGGCTCAGAAACACCCCCACCCCATCCTCCTGATCTCCACTCTCAGACTAGATTAGGGAGCAACACTGAGGAAAAGATCGAGATGCAAAGTGGGTTCAGGCCCTGAATGGGATGGAGAAGATGCGCTATCACTTTACAACAGAAGAAATTTAGTTTTGACTGCATTGGGTCTTAATTGCTGCCCACAGGCTTCTCTCTAGTTGAGATGGTGCAGGCTTCAGAGCGTGTGGGCTCTGCAGTTTGCAGCCCTCGGGTTCTCAAGTAGAGGCTCGAGGACTCAGTAGTTGGGATGCATGGGCTTGACTGCCTCACAGTATGTGGGACCCTACCGGCCCGACCAGGGATCAAACCCTCATCCCGTCTTGGAAGGTGGATTCCTCCCTGGACCACCAGGGAAGTCCCTAGGAGTTCTATCATTACTGAAGATTCACCTGTGGTTCCTTCCCCTCCTCTTGGCTCCCAGGGCCTTGGAAAGGCACAGGGGCTTCTCGAGCCCCCAAGCTCACCTCCGAGTACAGGGGCGGTGGGCGGTAGCGGAACTCCTGGATGTAGGCAAAGAAGGGGCCTTCCATGCTTACGTCGGGGTCCTGCAGTAGTGGCAAGAGGCTCTGCTCCATGGCCGCCACCTCCTCGTCGGGCACCACTTCGGAGTACTCGGGAGGGGCTAGAATTGAGAGACAGGGTGGGTGAGGCTGGGGGAGGAGGAGGGGAGCCCCAGAATTGGGGGCAATGGCCAGGTGGAGCTGGCGTGTGCCAGTTCTGGGGCTACTGGGCTGTGTGCCCTTGGATTGGGATTCTTGGGGGGGACTCCGGTTGCCAACATGATTGTTTCGGAGCACTTCTAGAGATGGGGGCAGCGAGCGAGGCTGGAGGGGAAGAGAGTCAGCCAGGCCCTCGCCTCTCTCCCACCCATGCCCACCCACAGCAGGAGGGAGAGTTCACCTTCAGGACGCTCTGGCAGGACCCCCAGCCCCCAGTCCATCAGGAAGCTGGCATGGCTGCCCACGCTGGATGAGCGGCTGCCGAAAGGGTGCAGGGGGATGGTGCCGATGACCAGTGGGAGCTCCAAGAGCAGCTTGGATGAGCCCGGGATGTCCACGCAGACCTGGAGGGAAGCACCATGATACAGAAGACCAGCCACCCGGGCAGCCTTGGCCACACTCTCCTTCTTATAGGAGGAGGCCCAGCGGTCCCAGCTCTAGCCTCAAGGAGGGAGGGGGACCCCAGGCTGGTTGTTGCTGCTGTTCAGTAACTAAGTTGTGTCCAACTCTGTGACCCCATGGACTGCAGCATGCCAGTCTTCCCAGTCCTTCACTATCTCCCTGAGTTTGCTCAAACTCATGTCCATTGAGTCAGTGATCTCATCCAACCATCTCATTCTCTGTCTCCCTCTTTTCATCCTGCCCTCAATCTTTCCCAGCATCAGGGACACAGCAAATGCAACCACCCCGGCCTCGGAGGATACTCTACCTTGAGGGCGTAGTCCACGTGTAACACGCGACAGTGCAAGATGGAAGGACCCACAGGAGGGATCCGCAGAGCCCGGCCCTGCCACAGTGCCCGCCGCCCGGGGCCCACAGGCTCCCCCGAGAGACTAGCCACCACGGTTCGCTTCTGTTTGCGGGCACCTCGTGCCATGAAGGTCTGGGTCTGGACCACGGCTGCCCGAGGCAGCACGGGGCGCGTGGAGCCATTGTCGATCTCAGCGAAGACAGGGATCACTTCACCTGTTAGGTGAGACCACAGGGCCTCAGTTTCCCCACCTGCAACCTTGACGCTGGCCTTCTTCCCAATCCAGGCCCTCCCACCTGTTACCTGGAGTGTAGCCTTTGCGGTCGATCTTGGCTGAGAGGGAGACAAGGCCGTGGTTACTGTACCAGGATCGGGCGATCTTTTCCCGAGCTCCGGCTTGAGGGGCCTGGTTGGGGGTTGGGGGGAGGAAAAGGATGTGAAACGGGTCCCCTTGTACCAACCACAGACCCTGTGGAGCTTCTAAACCACCCTCAGCTGAAGGAAGATATTGGGGCAGGGCCTAGCATCCTGGTTTCTAACAGGCTGTTTGCAAAATGGATCCAGGAATGTGACCCATCTCAACAAGCTAAAAACAAGTGAACAAGCCGGCACTAAGTGTGTTAATGAGTGCTCGGTAAGCCATTATTATTGTAAGCTCTGATTGTGCCCCCTTTCACAGATGAGGGATGCGTGGGAGGCTCCGAGAGGGTGAGACACTCACACAGAGCCACAGAGCAAACTGGTGCAGCTGGTTCTCGCACCTAGCTCCACTGGCATTCCCTGGCCTGCCTCCCTCCCTGCCAGGGCTCAGCTGTGACCCCCACTTTGTGAAGGGAGGAATGAGCAGCCAATCACCATGTAGCCAGGACCTTGCCCGCAGTGCCCCCAACCCACCAAGGGCAGCCACTCACCAGGAGAGCCGGTGTGTTGATGTCCACAGGCTCAATGACAGTAAACACCTTCCTCGTCCGACGGGCAGGGACCCAGGGCCGGTGGAGGGTGGCTTTGATGCAGTATCTGACACTGCCGTGTTTGCCTTCAAAGGAAGTCACTAGCGTCCTGGGTGAGGGGGGGGCGGGACGGAAGGTAAGACCCAGAGACACCCAGGTGGGAGATCCCCAAAGGCTCTGGGGGATGAGAGACAGGAGACAGTCTGGGGGGCCTCCCAGGAAGACAATCTGGAGTCTCAGTGGTCCCCAGATACCGAGCAGTGGAGTCCCAAACCTGGAAGGGGCTGCAGACTTAGGGACACTTAGAGACTCCCCCACAATCCTGCACCCCGCTCGACTTACGGTGGCAGCTGGAAGCTGAATGGGAATTCATGACGCCCAGGAGGCAGCGTTGTGGTCTCTCCAGTGCCTGCAGGTAGGAGTAAGAGAGTAAGAGGCAGCTCAGTGGCTGCGAAGGCCCTCCCGGAGCACAGAGCAAGCGCAGCGCAGGGGTCCCCCGGCTGGTACCTGGCGCGAGCAGCGTGGCACGGTGGCTCACAACCTCCACGCGCTCGCTGTAGCTCTGCGTGTACGCCGTGCTCGAGCCCGCGCTGCGCGACTCGGTCCAGTGCACATGGGCGCGACCCCGCGCGCGCAGCTTCAGGGAGCTCACTCGCGCTGGGCCCGCTAGCTCCAGAAGCACTCGGCCGGCCACCGCCTGGCCGCCGCTGAACACGGGCTCAGAGCCCGCGCCAGCACCATCCAGTAGCACCACGAATGCCTTCACCTTGTCGAACAGCATCGCCGCGGGGATACGAACTCGAGGCGCGCGGCCCCTGGCTTCGAACCCGCGGCGCGGCGGCTCGACGGCTGCAGCCCAGGGCGCGAGCCCACCAGGCGCACGCAGGCGCACTCGAAGGTCGGGCCAAAGACTCCTCACAGCCTGCGCCGGCGCCGCATTTATACGGCGGGAGGGGCGGGGCGAGACGCAGGTCCCGCCCCCGGAAGGGAACACGCCAATGGCGCGGCAAGAGGCGTGGTCTTGCCCAGGCTTGGAGCAAAATAACAAAAGCCTCGGTTTGCGGCTGGCGGCCTTCTACCCGTGCTACTCTCTGGGATGAGACAAGCATCGCGGCACAGAACAAGCATCTCTCAGACTGCAGGGGCGAACAGGAAAAACCGAGGCCAGGTCACCTAGCAAGAACGTTCTGCCGCCGGCTTAATCATCTACCGGCCGCCACTTGCAGACGTGACTCGGTGCATGTCCAGCCGGAGCTGGAGGGAACGGCCAGGTCCCCGAGAGCCTAGGACTAACTACCTCGGGCCTCAGCTCGGCCCGCCCACCCTGCCTCCACCCCGTGCAATGGGGGAGGGAGGAAGAAGTGGTTGGGGCCTTCCAACACTGGGCGCCTGCTGCCCCAACCATGATTTGAAACCCGCTCAGCTGGGTGACCTGGTTTAATGACATCTCGGAGCCTGAGTTTCCACGTTTGTAGAGCCAGAAGAAAATCAGTCGCGACCTCAGAGAGTTGTGCACGAATCGCGGTGTAGCCCTACTCGACCCCTCCCAGAGCCTCTCTCCCGACTCATCCGCCCGCCCCTGACACCCTGCCTCACTCAGCGGCGCCTCTGCGCTTTTGCCCCACGTTCCTTTCCAAACTTTCAGCTCCTGCCCTCTCCATCCCCCACTCCCCACCCTCCCTGCCTCCGCAAACTTCTCTTTGCTCTTTTGACCCAGCTCGTCCCCTCACAGACAGAGCCAAGTGCCGGGGAAGCTCACGGAATCCCCGGGTTCAGGGCTGCGGTATGCCTTTGGGACGGTAACCACTCTCTGGACCTCAGTTTCCACAGAGAACCTTAAGTAGGGTTTCCAAGTTGGAAGCTGCCTGTACGCGATCTGCGAAGCGCATGCGCCCTCTTGTGGCAGCGTCATACATTGCTGCTTGAACCCCCTACCTTATTCAGTCCCGAAGTCGTATACAACTTTTTGCAACCCCATGAACTGCAGGACACCAGGCTTCCCTGTCCTTCACTATTTCCCAGAGTTTGCTCAAACTCATGTCATGCAATTATCTCATCCTCTGTTGCCCCCTTCTCCTCCTCCCCTCAACCTTCCCCAGCATCAGGGTCTTTTCCAATGAGTTGGCTTTTCCCATCAAGAGGCGAAAGTATCAGAGCTTCAGCTTCAGCATCAGTCCTTCCAATGAATATTCAGGGCTGATTTCCTTTAGGAAGTCTTAAAACCCCCTACCTTGGCCATGCCTTCTGAGTCTGGCTCAGCCTGGCTGGAACCCCAGCTGAGGCCAAGACACCCCCAGGGGGAGGTGGCCATAATTGACACACCCAGTCAGTGATAGAGGTCAGGGCAAACCGGTAGAGAGGGGTAGAGGCTGTCCACCAGTGATCAGCCTGGTGAAGGGCTCCGGGGCTGAAATAAGGCACTAGGACCTTCTCCCAAGGCCAAGTGAAGCCTAGAAAGAAGACAGGAGGCCATAGGCCCAGGAGGAGGAAGGGAATAGAGTGACCTTGGGGGGATGGGATGGCTCAAGCTTTCTTTTTGGTCACACAAGACTTGTGGGATCTTAGTTTCGTGACCAGGTACCAGATATCAAACCCACGCCCCCTGAGATGGAAGCTCAAGAGTTTTAACCACTGGACCGCCAGGGTAATCCTGGGAAGGTCCATTCTGAGCCAGGGTCCTCAGTCCATTTCACAGATGGGTTCCCCCAGAGACGAGCAGGGACTCAGCGGAAGTCACAGCAACTCTGCTTCACTCCTCCAGTATCTTAAGGAAGCTACCAGTGAGTGGGAGCAGGAGGGCTGGAGGGTGAGACCGGCTCCGATGTCCCTGAGTCTCAAGGAAAGGGAAGTGCCTACAGGGCCCCTTCTTGCTTCATTCCATGCCAGCTATGGTTTCCACAGAGCATCAGGCGAGAGCCTCCCACACCTGGCGGCTGTTTGGACAAAGCAGTAAGTCTGTAGGCAAAGCATCTAGTGTGTGCAGGGCCGGAAGTAAGGGTGCTGTGGGCAGGGAGCCAGATTTGAGCTGCATCCTGTTTCTACCCATCTTGCAGATGGGTATGGTGAGGTCTGCCTTCCCTGAAGAAGTGGCCAGGGCAGCCGAGGGAGGCCAACACCCTCTTCAGTCACTCAGCAGGTGCTAGAGCACAGACTTACTCTTTGTCCCTGCCCTCCCCTACTTTCGCTCTCAACTGGCCGTATGGCCTAAGGGAGGAGGACAGAGGCTCAGAGCAAGCACGGACATGTCCAAGACTCCTAACCTGATCTGACCCTACCCCAGGTCTTCTCCCTGCCTGGGGTGTATTCCCACCCCTTACCTGCAAACACCACCCAAATCCCCAATCCAGCAAACAACCCTTCATGTAAACACTGGTAAGGGGCACTGGCGGGGGTTGAGACGTGGGCCTTCTTTGGGAATCAGAGCCCCCAGGCCTGGGGTTAACGAGGCATCCTGGTGTTCAGAGGAGGATCTCCTAGCTCCACCAAGGGATCCCCTGAAACCAAGGGGGTCCTGTGGGGCTCCCAAGCACAGAGGCCTTTCTGACCCCATTTCTTGACTCCAGCCCTATAACCTTTCCTGAGTTTCATAGGGTGGATTTGAACAGTTGCTAATCAAGGGAGAAGCCAAGAAACCACCCGAGACAAGATGGAACTGAGAAGCTCACAAAGATTAGAAGACCACCTGAGATGAGATTAAGGGCATGCAAGCCCTGCTCACACCTTCATGTCATCAAAGACCCCCAGTGTTGAACCACTGCGATATAATCCCTCATCTAGTTTTCTGGGGTGGAGACATCATTTTTCAAGGTAGAAGCCAGGTGTGTCTCCCTTTGCCTGGCAAAGCAGTAAAACTACTTTTCCACTTCACCCAAAACTTTGTCCGGCGGATTTGATTCCTCACTGCTCTATCTGGAGGGCAAGCGATTGGTAACACCCCAGACTCCATACGGGGGCGAGGAGGGGGGCATGGCTCGACCGCATATCCTCTAGGTCAAGGGAGTCCTAGCAGACCTGAAAAGAGGGGTCGGTGGCGGGGATTCTGGCTCGGGGGTGGGGGGAGATGAACGGCTCACCTCGGAGCAGCAGCTGCCGCCGTCGCAGGTACGTCTCAGCGGCCGCGTAGTCGCTGGACACGGCGTTGACACCCACGCTTCGGCCCTCGAGCCAGTGCGTGACCGCCCCGCCGCGCGCCGCCACCTCGAGCGCTAGCACCCGCAGCGGCGCCGCCACCTCCAGCAGCACCCGGCCGCACAGGCGCTCGCCGCCGCGGTACGCGTCGTCCGGGCCCCGCGCCAGCTCCAGCGCGAAGCTGCGCACGCCCCCCGGGCGCATGGCGGGGGCCAGGGCGCTCGGCGGGGATGTTGTACCGGCGCGGCTCCGCCCGGCGCGCTGCTGGGCAGCGTCTGCCGGCCTCTCTGCTCTCGGTGCTGGTCTTCGCCGCGCCGGACACCCCTCCCGAGCTTTCTCCTGCTTCTGCGAACCTGTGTGGACGCCGCCGGCCCGGGGCCGGCGCGTACTTGGCTGACTTCCTGGTCCTCCGTGTCCGCCCTCGTGACGCGCTCGGGCCTCCGGGGACGTGCCGCCCGCGTGTCCGCGCGCTTGACTTTGCTGCCCCCCAGGGCGGGGCGGGTTCTGTTTATGCAGGGTAGGCGCCTTTGAGTCAGAGGCGGGCGGGGGCGGATGTGGCTGGCGCGGAGCAGAGGCAACCACCCGGGGTCTGTCTAGTGGACACAGTCGTCCCCTACCCGGCACCTTTGGACCCGGCGCGGCCCCAGCTCCTCCCCGGCCTTCCTGCCATCATCTGGTTGTTCCCCAGACACACCAAGCTCGGGTCTCGCTTCTTGGCCTTTGCGCCGGCGGTTGCTGCTAGGAACGCCCTTCTCCAGGTCTCCGTCCCCAAATGTCACCTCCTCGGAAACATGCTCTGGACTTAATTCTGTGTGGCTCTGGCCGCTATGTTTGTGACTGCGGTGGGTTCACTGTAGTGCCTCCTCCAACAGACTGGGTGTACCCAAGGGTGAGCACTGTGCCCTGTTTTCAGCACCTGATCTTACAGAAGGGGAAACTGAGGCCCCCCAGAAGGGCAGCCGCTGCCCATAGGCACCCAGCGGCGGCTGACTCAGGACTCGAACCCACGTCTGACCTCAGCCCACCGACACCTCCCCGGATCCTTCTTGTCCTTGTGTCCCACCTATCACCCCCAGGCAGGTGGCCCATGGCCTTATCAGAGGCTGCCAGAGCCTGGGCTCTCATCTGGATCCAGAGTAGCCTCTCTCTCCACAGGGCCCAGCATCTGCCAAGAGCCTGCCTCCCCACCTGACTCCAGCGCTCTGAGCCCAAGGCCTGGAAGGACCTTTCTGATTCTACTTGTCTGAGACCTTCCCCTCCATTCTGCCGCAGAGAGGCCTCTCTCAGCCCAGGGTCACAGCAGTCCCCTCCCCATGGGTGACCTCCACTGAGTGCATTCTTCCCCTTGGCCTATGGACCGCTGAGTTTAAGTCCTGGCTCACCCCGCTTCACTCTGTAGCCCCAGGCAGATGGTTTCACTTCTCTGAGTCTCCCCATCCTACCCTGGTCAGGTTCTGGGGAAGAGTCGCATTATACTGGCTGTATACAACAGGCGCTCAATCCATGCTCATCACACAGGGAATGGCCCTCCTCACTCTGTCGCCACCCCCTCTGGGCCATGACCGACAGTGCCACTGGAGCCTGGCCCCTACAGGTGCTCTGGTCCTGACCGTCCACTTCCCTGCGGGCCAGGCCTGGGCCCTGCTCCCTGCAGGGTCCCTCTGTGGGCACCGGGTGGGGCAGGTGCAGATGTCCGCAGAGAGGTGTGGCGTCCAGGCCCAGGAGACCCCTAGGCCGGGATGGGCTGGGCTCACCTCGACCCCCACATCCGGTCTGGAATCCCAGGGCCCGGGTGTCCACTGCCCATGTTGTCCACCAGCCACACACAACAGGCAGCAAGTGGGCGGGTCCTGCTTTATTTGGAACCGGCAAGGACCCCTCTCCTGGCTGCCCCACACCCACCCGGGGCCTGGAGAGAGCCGAGGGTGGGGGAGGGGCGTACCGGGGAATCGGGGGGGCCAGAGGAAGCTCCAAGCTCCCCCAGCGCCAAGCAGGGAGGAGGCAGATCTGCCCTCGCCTGCCTCTGGCCCTACTCTCTGCCCGAACAGTCTGGGTGGGGTGCAGTGGTTCGGGCCCCAGTCCACTCAGCCCAACTCAGCTTCGGCTCCTTGAACTCCAAGAGGCGCCACTGTACAGGGCTTCTTGGATGGCGTGGAAGTGGCGGCCACACGATGGCCAAAATTGAGGGGTCCGGTGGCAGGCAGGGCTGTCACCCGCAGTCTGAAGGGGCCACGGGCGGCCACCAGTGGGGGGGACTCCGAGCCACCTGGTCTAGGGGGCCGGAGCCAGGCCAGGGTGGCAGGGCGGGCGGGGGCGGGCGTATGGCTTGGGCAATGAGGCCAGGCAGGGCCTGCAGGGAGGTGCCCAGCGCATCCAGGCGGCTTTCGAGGGCAGCCAGGCGGGCCTCAAGCTCCTCGTGCTGGGCGTGCAGCTCGGACATGAGGTCGTACATGACGTTCTGGGTCTGCCGGACAGAGAGGCGGGAGAGAGAGGAGAAAGCAGGTGAGAGAGGGAGGGATGGGCCCAAGGATGGCAGGGCGGCCCCGCTTGGGCGGCGACCCACTCACTGGACCTAAGCGAGGGGCAGCAATAAGGGCTCTACCGGCCCAGCCGAAGGTCTCTTGGGTGGGCCCCAGGGAGCGGTGGGAGAACAGGTGAGGCGAGACACAGGTCTTGAACGCCAGGCTCGGGGCCAGCAGGGAAGGTCCGGGGCCCAGCGAGTGTGACCAGAGTTGCCCTGAAGGGATGAACTAGCCACATGGTGCATAAAATCAGAGGCTGGTCTTGGGTGATTCTGGACTGACGTTGCTCCAGGCTGGGAACACGGTCGAGGGGAGGAGGCTAGGTGAACTGTCCCCCTCTTCCCACATTAGACTGGGGAGGGGATGGGGGTTCCGGGGAGAGGTGACCGCCCCAAGCATCTGACTCCATCACCAGGGGACACGACCGCCACAACAGTCCCTGTTACACCAGGTGGTGGGGCGTCTCTGCCATCTCGGCCGCTTCTCACAACCCAGCAAGCGGGGGTGTCCAGACAGATGAGCCGGGGAGTCGGGGGGTGGGGGGGGGGGGCGGCGGGACACACGCGGACAGCCCTCGGTGCAGATGTCGCTGTCGCCATCAGGTGGCGCTAGACTGTGGTTCCATTCTCAGCCCAGCTCCCTGCAGAGTAGACCCTCCTGCCCCCACCTCCACCCGCCCTCCAGGGGCGGTCCGCAGCTCACCACCCATTCTGGGGCTCGGGCTTGTGTCACGCCACCCTCCCTGGCCATGCTCTGTGGGAGGGAGACTGCTCATCCACGCCACAACACCTTTCTGCACTGTACCCACAGCCTCTCAGCCGCAAATCTTTACCTGGGCTGTGCCTTCCACCCTTTACTGTTAGTGGTAAGCAAATCCCATCCCAGAGTGAACAAATGCATCTGGGGCCTTCCTGGGGCCACAGACCCTCATCCCAGCCTGCCTCAAGGGACCACACAGTCCCCAAGGCCAGGGAGTAACATCTGGAGACATCCAGCCCTCCGACTGGAGAAGGAAATGGCAACCCCTTCAGGTATTCTTGCCTGGAGAATTCTGTGGACAGAGGCGGCTGGCAGGCTGCAGTCCGTGGAGTCACAAAGAGTTGGACACGACTGAGCAACTGAACGAACAGCCGCTGGATGGATCTTTTTGGCCCTCTCTGAGGTTCAAGCTTTTTTTTTTTTTTTTTTAAGGTTTACGTTTTTATTAGAATATATATTTTGTTTTTGTTGGAGAGATACAAATTAAATCAGCAACCATGGAAAGCATTAAAATTTAATACTGGAAAACATTTTAACCTCGTTAAATTTTTTAAAAAAATTAGAAACCATATCATCCAATCCAGTGAAAGACTTACTTCAAAGAAGCCTTCCTTAAATGTATTTTGAGAAGAGCATACTGCTATAATTATAGGTTTAAATAACTTTTAGCAGTTCACATTTTAATCATCTATATTCATGAAGTAAGTGTGATAATGGATGATGCAGACTATAATGTACCTGAGTTTTTCAAAGGCATTTAATATATATATATTTGGAGCTGTTATCTCATTCGCATCATATTAGTTGGCCAAGGACTTCTACATGCTGTTAGGATTATGATCTTTCTACTACCAACTGAATCATTTCTTCAGGCTTCTAGAATGTTTTTTCCTCTGTAACATTCCCTTCCAAATTAAGTTTATATAAGTTAGTGTTAAATTAAATTGCATTCTTTTTTTAATTTTGGCCATACTGCATGGCTTGCGTGATTTCAGTTCTCTGACCAGGGATTGAATCTGGGGCCACAGCAGTGAAAGCCTGGAATCCTAACCACTAGGCTACTAGGAAACTCCCTTAATTGCATTCTCTTGCTAATGATGAAGAGAGCGAGTCCAAAATGTGATGAGTATGACTAGTAAAATAGAAGAGGACTTCATATTTTCTAAGGATAATATTAAATTGGGCTCAGATCTATTAATTGACTAGGAGATGTAGCCAGTTAGCAAAGTTCATACGTGAACTATTTGTGAAAGGGCAGATGGGAGCTGAGAAGAGCGTGACAAATATACTAAGAGCTTGCCCACCTGAAGTTGAGGCAGTTGACATATCTTCTAATGGATGAATAGAAAGCTAGAAATCGGATGGGACCTGAAGTTAGAACTAACAAACAGATCCATTTCTAACACAAACTGATCTTACAGAGCTCTGGCAATTAACTTTAATCTCCTCAAAGATATTTAATTGCTATACAAATAAGCTTTCTCCTGAGGCTCTGCTCTCTTGCTTATTTAGTCGCCGAGTCACGCTGACTCTTTGTGATTGCATGGCCTATAGTCTGCCAGGCTCCTCTGTCCACGGGATTCTCTGGGCAAGAATGCTAGAGTGGGTATCCATTTCCTTCTTCAGGGGATCTTTCCCACCCAGGGATTAAACCTGTGTCTCCTGAATTTCCAAGTGGATTCTTTTACCACTGAGCCGCTTGGGAAGTCTATAATTTGAACTTATATTCATAGCAAAAGAAATTTGTTTTTCTCTTAAACTTTAGAGCCTGTATGTAGCTAACATTTCTAAATATGAAAGTACCACTTCACCAATTTAGCCCACTAGTTACATATTCTTATTGGAGCTATTAATTAAAAGTGTAAAATAGCCACCAACATTCCAAAGTAAAGATTTTACACACAGATGTAGATTTCTGGCATCTCTCTAACAACTGGAGCCTCTGGTCACAGTGGACCCTTGCAGACACGGCTCATGTTCACAGTGGATGCTCCCTGCCCTGCATCCCTGGCCTGTACCATGGGCACCAGCACTGCTCCTCCCTCCCTGGCAGGAGCTGGGCCTGGTTCTTTACTAAGCACCCCTCCTCCCCCTCCTCCCCCTCCTCCCCCTCCCCTCCTCCTCCCCCTTCCCCTACCCCTCCCCCTCCTCCCCCTCCCCCATCCTCCTCCTCCCCATCCTCCTGCTCCAGGCTTCCTTGATGGCTCAGATGGTAAAGAATCTGCCTGCAATGCAGGAGACCCAGGTTAGATCTCTGGGTTGGGAAGATCCCCTGGAGAAAGGAATGGCAACCCACTCCAGTATTCTTGCCTGGAGAATCCCTTGGACAGAGGAGCCTGGCAGGCTACAGTCCCTGGGGTCACAAAAGAGTCAGACATGACTGAGCCTCCCCTGAAGGCCCAACCAACCCCTTCTGGCCCCCGGGGCTGCCCCACCTTGCCCTGCCCTTCTTACCTTGGCCAGGTCTGCGAGTGTGTTGGTCTGGTCATTCAGCTTCCCTTGCTCAATCTTCACACTCCGGAGCCTGGGGGACAGGTGGGCAGGTGGGGTTGTGCAGAGGCTGCAGTGGAGTCAGGGGTCTTCCATGCAACTCACCCCACCCAGAGTCACCTTGTGGGGTACGCAGTCGGGGGATGAGGGGCAAGCTGGAGGTCCCCTTGCAGCCCATCCCCTCCTGGCATGCAGGGGGCAGCAGGGCCTGGGGGATGATGGTTCAGCACACATGCACCAACCCCCAGGGAAGAGACTTACTTCTGCGCTCTGGTGGGACCCGGCGGAGCAGAGAGAAACCACAAGGCAATTTTAATCTCAGCACAGCTGGGCAGCCCGTACCCAACCCGGCCCACCTCCCATGGGCGGCACCCCAGGGCCAGACTGGGGGCCCTAGAAAGCAGAGGGGCAACCGCCCTTGCTCTTGGGAGAGGTCCAGCCTCTGAGGGGGTGGTGCCAGCCCTCAGGGATGCAGCCGCTCTCTGCTTCCTCTCTCCAGCAGTGCCCTCCCACCAAATGCAGCTGCCTTCAGCCCTGCAGCCGCGCTGTATGCCAGCCTGTACCGAGCTCCCGGCCCTGGAGATGGCATTTAGTCCAGAAAACTGTGCCCACACATTTCCTGAGGGGGAAACCGAGGCTCAGAGCGGGCAAAGCCGGCGCCTACTAGCTTCCTACCAGGACTTGAGCCTGCACTGCCGCTCAGCCTCTGAGACCTTGGCCCTGTGCACGGCTCCCTATGCGGGCGTGGGGGTTTGTCCTCACCCCTTCTCTCCGCCCCTTCTGTAGCTAAGCCAGCCCAGGGAGGCCATTTCAGGCAGGACTCTTTTTTTCCTCCTCACTGGTCCAAATTCAAGACCTGCACATCTAACATGTGACAGACGCTTGGAGAGGACCCTTGGGTCCCACCCATCCTGGGTGTTTTCAGGACCCCTGGGAGGACCCGCTTCTCGGTCTGGAGAAGTGGAGGCAGATACAGGCAACCCCAACACTGGAAGTCTGGGGGTGGCCTGGAGAGGATAACGGAGGCTTGCTAAGGAGCCACAGACTTGCCTGCCCTGGGGAAGTCATTCTTGGCATCTCTGGAACCTTCCTGTTACAGGTTGAATGGTGTCCCCACAAAAGACATACTGAAGTCCTAACCTCCAGCACCTCACAATGTGACTGTTTGGAAATGGAGTCTCTACAGATTTAATCAGGTTAAGATAACTGGTATACTGGTATCCTTATAAAAGGGGGAAATTTGGACACAGGGAAGGAGAATGATGTGAAGACACAGGGAGAGCATGTGAAGATGGAGGATCGGAGCAATGCGTCTATGAGCCAAGGAGCGCCTGGGGCTGCCAACAGCTAGGAGAGATGCCTACGACAGATCTTCCCCTAATGTCCTTGGAGGGAGAATGGTCCTGCCAATACCTTGATTGTGGACTTCTGGCCTCCAGAGTGGTGCAATCACAAATTACGTGTACGCTGTATGCTGTGTCCTGTCTGTCCCCTCTGAGACCATGTCTTCCTTTCCACTGGCTGCTCACACCGCACTCCCGTCATGGGGATTCTCCAGCCCAAGAAGATGCCATGGCTCCCTCACACTTGTTGGTGGCACCTCTCATCTGCTGGGCACTGTGCTCCCACCTCCCACCCTTGTCCAAACTGTGCACACTCCTTGGTATGCATACCTACCTCTTGGTTTCCTACCCAAATCCCATCCATCTTTCAGGCCCTAGTTCAAATGTGCTTGATTTCATCAGCTGTTCTTATAAGGCCACTATTTGGGGGGGCTGGTGCAGGGAGACCTAAAGGTGAGTGAGATAGTCCTGCCTCAGAACAAAAGAACACAGGGAACTCACAGAGCAGGTGCCTTCTCCACTGACCTAACTGTCCTCAATTCCTACCCTCACACTTCTCCCAGAGAACTTTCAGGGATATCCCTGAGAGTAAGGTCCAGAGCAGAGACATGTCTGTGCCCGCCATGCCTGGCACACCAGTTGGTGGAGGAAATTCTTGTGGCTTAACCAAATGAACATACTGAGGATGTCAACAACAACACCAGTTCCCATTTTCAGAAAATACTGTGTGGTAGGCAAGTGCAGGCAAGTCATCTGGTCACCCCAACTGTGTTTCATCCACACTCCATTCCTGGAGAAGAGGGATGTCACCACTGTTTCCACTTTACAGATAAGAAAATGAAGCTTGAAGTAGCATCGTCACTTGCTCAGGCCCCACAGTTGGGTGGCAGAGACCAGACTGGGACCCTGTGGTCAGTAAACAACTTTGAAGGGTCAACAAGGAGGGCTGTAGGGTCTTGTGAGGAAATAGGACAAACACCTGGGCACAGTGATGCCAAGTAAGTGGGGCACTGATTTCTTCCCCTGCTTCGTAGGTGATTATGGAAGCAGAGGTTGGGGGTTCCATGTGTTACTGAATACTTGCTCTGTGCCATGAACTATGCCAGGCATTTTTGCATATCACTCCATTTAGACCTCCCCACAGTCTTGTGAAGTAGAGATTGTGATCATGAGAAATTAATTCAATCGTAACAGTAAACACAATGGATTAAACTCTAGCTAAACAACAAGGATGGTACAGTAAACACAATAAATGTTAACGGACTAAAGTCTCCAGTTAAAAGACAAGGATTATCGGGGCTCAAGAAGACTCCTAGGTCAATGAATCTGTTCATTATCCTGACTGTGGTGACAGTTTCATGGAGGTGCACACATGTTAATACTGATCAAACTCTGCACTCTAAATAGCTGCAGTTGACTGTGTGTTGATTATACTTCAATAAAGCTATTCTTTAAAAAGAGGCAAAATGAGTAACCAGGATTTAAGGAGTTAAAGTGAGCTAGCCGAGCTTCCTCACTCATGGTCTGGTCTTCTACAGCCACACTCTGCTACGCTGTGGTGCCCCAGTAGCTGCCCACACTAGCCATGACCTGGAGTCTCCCCACAACAAGCTGCCTGGCTCTCCTGCTCACACAGGGGTTGGCAGTGTTGCTTCCCATCGCTGTTCCTTATGGCTGACTTGATTGCCTTCCTGTTGTACTAGCTCAGACCCTAACACTGTTTGCCTCACTCTCTGATTCATCAGCCCCTGAGTCTGGTTGAGGAGTTCTTAGGGCAAGAATCCATCTGATTTTCCCAGGGAAGCCCAATTGTGAATGACGTTTTCCAAGATGTAAGAGCTGGGGATGCATAGGCTCATTCTGAAAAGTGCCTTAAAATGCTTGAAAATTTTAAATCAGCTACTACGTGACTCAACTCTAATTTATTGTTGAGTGCCGGATCCCACAGAATTTGGACCTGTTTAAATTCTAGACTGTGCACTGTCCCATACCTCCTATATGTAGCTAGTGAACATTGAAATGTGACTTGTCTGAATAAAAACAGGTTGTAAGTGTAAAATACCCACCAGATTGCAAAGATTTAGTATCAAAAACTTTCTAAAATATTAATGATTTCTATATTAATCACATATTAGTAACTGATAATGATTTTTGTATATTAGGTTGAATAGATATATTAAAATTAATTTCACTTATTTCTTTTCACCTTTTTAAAATGTGGGTACTAGAAAATTTTAAACTATGTATGTTACTCACATAATATTTCATGTGGACAGTGATTGGCATATTATGGTTTATAGGCCAAATTCTGGGCAGCTGTTTGTTTTAGAAAACAGTTTCATTGGTTCATAGCCACACCCACTCACCTTGCTGCCTTTGCTACAACAGCAGAGCTGGGTACTTGCAACAGAGACGTTCTGGCTCACAAAGCCTGAAATAATTAATACCTGGTCCTTTACAGAAAAAGTCTGCCAACTCTGGCTGAACATTGGATTCCCCTGAGGAACTTAAACTTGAGCTCAGGCTGTATCCCAGACTCTATTGTAATTGGCATTCGGTATGGCCTATGGGATTTTAAAAAGCACTCCCTAGGTCACTCCAATGAGCAGTCAACATGAGAATTACCCGATTAAATAATTCTCAGGAAAAAGGGAAACAGAGAAAATTAAGTGATCTCTGATTACCACACATGATCATACAAATCAGGCCACAGATTTAATTCTGAGCTTCCTGGAAGGCAAAGCAAAAAGGGGAAATTGCTTTAGTGCCCAAGGGGGAAGGCATTTTGGCTATTCCAGAGAAGAAAATATGCTTCCTGCCACTTATGTTGGGTGGTCTGCATGATTTATCAGAGGTGATTGTCCTGGAAAAGTGCTGGTCCCACTATCCCACCCAGCACAGAAGCCGTAGGCCCCAACCAACTGACCGCCCGGAAGGGGAATGGTCATGATGTATGTGGCCACGGCGAGCTGTCTGGCCTAGTCTGCAGCCTCCTCCCCGCGAGCCAGGGCTGCCTCTGTGCCCGGTGGACACAGAAACGCGAGTGGGAAAGGTGCTGGACTTACTGATGGATGGCTTGGAGGAACTTACGCTGGTGTTTCCGAACCCGGGCCTGGTCTGGCTTTTTCACCAGCCTGGTGTGTTTGTAGATGAGCCACGTCTCCCTGAGAACGTTAGCAGCGGCGTTTTTTACCTGAGGCCAAAGAAAGAACATTTCCTTGCTGCTGCTCAGCTACTCAGCTGTGTCCGACTCTCTGTGACCCCACAGACTCTAGCCTGCCAGGCTCCTCTGTCCATGGGATTTTTCAGGCAAGAATATTGGAATGGGTTGTCATTTCCTCCTCCAGGGGATCTTCCCGACCCAGGGATCAAACCTACATCTACTGCATGGACAGGTGGATTCTTTACCACTGAGCCACCTGGGAAGCCCTGAGTAGACACAAAACTATGGAAGGCTCTGGAAACTTCTGGAAGCTTCCAGAAACTCCCAGAAACTGGAACAGAAGTGTCCCTCTGGGGCCCTGGGGCTGTAAGGCAGGGCCATGTTTAGCCAGCCACATCTGTACTCTGTGTGTGTGCATGCACGCGTGCCTGACAAACATCGCTCACCAAGGCCAGACCCTTTCTATACATCTTGCTAATATTAACTGGGTGAATCTCCACATGGTGGGATCTCTCTCACTTTATATGTGAGGAAACAGGCACAGAGAGACCCACCTGCTGAGGTCATACAGCTTATAAGCTGCACCCGGCTGCCTGGTGATGATGCCCCTGCCTCTTGTTGAGCGGCCCGCGGCTGGGCTGTGACTGAGCGTGAAGTGGACAGCTGTGGCCACAGCCACGACTCTGCACAGCTCAAAGGCGTTCACACGGCGGTGCAGCTCAGGGCTCTCTGGGCACACACAGGCAGCAGGGTGAGACCCAGGGGCACACGTGCAGAAGTAAGGTGGGGACAGCCGGCCCGGAGGACCAGGAGGAGAAAGGGCCGTGAGGGGCTGGTGTCCGTACCCGCTTGGTGAGCTGAGTGTCCATCATGAAGTTGTGCACGTGTTTCTCTGCCTTGGTGAGCTCCAGCTTCCGGGCCACCACAGCCACCACGAGTGCCGTGCAGCCAGCCCCCTGCATGAAGAAAGTGAGAGGGCATGTCAGAATCCACCTCATACGGGTCACAAGTAGGACCACCTCCCTCCTCCAGGACGCCTTCCTGGTTCCCCCCTCACCTTTGCCCTCCAAACCTGCAGGGTTGGCAAATCTCATATTCTGAGTTCACTGACTCCAAACCCCCCTTGCTTAACACCATTGAATGTCCAGGGAGTCTGTGCCACACACTAGTCCTTTTGATTCCCAACAACCCCAGGAGGCAGGACCACTCTTATTCCTCTTGGGCAGAGGGGAAAAGTGAGGCTCAAAGATAAGAAAAAGGACAAGACGCAGGCAGAATCTGCATGTGCATTTGGGGCTGATGCCCATGGAGGTGGGAGGATGGGAAGAATTCCATCCAGGCTTTGGGGTCTACATGATGGAGACAGAGACCCAGCTGACATGTTGCTGACCGGTAATGCAGCTAACAGGTAGGGTCAGAAGGGTGGTGAGAAAGAAGATCAGGTCAGCCGACCATGGTGGGGCGTTTTCAGGACAGAAGGGGCAAACTGTAGGTCCCAGGATGCGGGGAAGTAAAAGGAGGGGTTGTCTCCCCTGTGGTGGGGCTCCTGCTCTTAGCAACCACCCTCCCCAGTATGTCCTGAATGGCAGCCAGTCCCCCAGTGAGGGAAGGAGGCCAGAGAGGACTTGCTTGCCCACTGGGCAGCCACCTGAGAGGCAGAAGGGCAGGAGGAGGACCCAAGGAGGAGGGCGAGGCTGCCAGGCAGGAGTAGGGGGACAGAGAAAAGTGATGGAGGAGGGCGAGAAAGGGGGCATTCAGCCACTGAGAATCGGGATCCTGGGGACACAGGACATCCAGCTGCCGTCAGCCCAGCAGTGGCCGGGAGGGGGTGGCAGGGGCCACTGAGGGGCCGCCGAGGGGCCGGAAGGTGGCTCCCTGACTGTACCGAGGCTCTCTCTGGCACCTCACCCGCCCACTGCTTCCTCCTGTGGGTGCTGCATACAGGATGGAAGGAAGGAAGAGACCCAAACCCAGCCCCGGGGGACCAGGGGAGCGGCTAGTTTTTCTTACAGATGGAAGCAAACATTTACGGGGAAGGGTGGGCACAAAGTCTCCCCTTGAGGAGATCCCACCATGCATTTCTGGCCAGGATATGGGTCTTGGGAGGACTCAGGAGTCTGTGTTCAAGAGAAGCCCTGTCTAAAACATTCTCTGACATAAATCGTACCAATGTTTTCTTAGGTCAGTCTCCCAAAGCAATAGAAATAAAAATAAGCAAATGGGAACTAGTCAAACTTACAAGCTTTTGCACAGCAAAGGAAACCACACACACACACACACACACACAACACACACACAAAAAAAAAAAAGAAAGAAAAGACAACTTACGGAATGGGAGAAAATATTTGCAAATCATGTAACAGACAAGGGCTTAATTTCCAAAATACACTGACAGCTCATACAACTCAACAACAAAAACCAGCTCAGTTGAAAAATGAGCAGAACACATTAATATATATTTCTCCAGAGAAGACATACAGATGGCCAATAGGCACATGAAAAGATGCTCAACATCAGCAACTGTGAGAGAAATGCAAATCAAAACTATAATGAGGTACCTCCTCACACCTGTCAGAATGACCACCATTAAAAAGTCTACAAATAACAAATACTGGAAAGGGTGTGGAGAAAAGGAAACCCTCCTACACCGTTGATGGGAATGTACATTGGTTCAGTCACTACGGAAAACAAGTGTGGAGGTTCCTCAGAAAACAGAAAATGGAATTACAGCAATTCCAGCAATTCCACTCCTAGGCATATATCCAGACAAAACTACAATTCACAAAGGTACATGCACCCCTATATTCAAAGCAGCACTATTCACAATAGCTAAGAAGTGGAAACATCTAGATATCCACTGACAGACGAATGAATACAGAGGATGCGGTACATACATACAATGGAATACTACTCAGCTATAAAAAAGAATAAAATAAGGCCTCTTGCAGCAACATGGGTGAAACTAGATATTATCATACTAAGTGAAGTAAGTAAAAAAGAGAAAGACAAATACCACATGGTATGATTTACATGTGGAATCTAAACCGTGGCACAAATGCACCCATCTGCAGAACAGAAACAGACTCAGACATGGAGAACAAACGTGTGCCTGTCAGCTGGGAGAGGGAAGTGGAAGGGAGGGAGTGGAAGTGTGGCGTTAGCAAATATAAACTATTATATATAGAATGGATAAACAACAAGGCCCTACTAATATAGCATAGGAGACTATATTTGGTATCCTGTGATAAACCACAATGGAAAAGAATATGTAATAAAAAGGATGCTTTGTGTGTATAACTGGGTCATTTTCTATAAGCAGAGATTGGCACAACGCTGTAAATCAACTATACTTCAATAAAAATTAAAAAAACAAAAATCCCTGTCAACTGGGGCACAGAACATATTGGGAGCCTCCATGTGGAATACTATGCAGCCAGGAAAAAGATGGGCTGATGGCCAATGTGCCACACAACAGCACGGATGCCACATCCAGCAAAAGACTCTGAGTTTAGAGGAGGCCATGATGGGATGCCTTGAAGTTCAAGGATGAGCAAATGTGTGTTTTATAACATATTGGAAGGGGGTGGGCCATGGAACAGTGACAGGGAGGAGATACACTTGGACAAGGATGGAAGAGGAGACAGTAACAGGAGAATAAGAAACAGAAAGTGGCTTGAAAGACCAAGGTGTGGCTTCATGTGACCCCTGGCTATGTGGTAACAGAAGAGCAAGAAATATCTCTGGGTATAAACACTCCTGCATTTGCTGGAGGCGAGGGCCAGGAGTGAGCTGCAGGCTAAATACCAAACTGATTTTCTGGAAGGAGGCTCATCCCAGTGGAGAGAACATGGCTTTTCTGTTTCACTGTGGGTTTTCTGGGTTTAAAGTCATCTTATCTGAATACTTTGGTTTTTTTTTAATTTGTAAAGTTCATTTGAGTTCTTCCCTGGTGGCTCAGTAGTAAAGAACTTGACTGCCAATGCAGGAGGTGAGGGTTTGATCCCTGCATCAGGAAGATCCCCTAGAGAAGGGAATGCTACCCACTCCAGTATTCTTGTCTGGAGAACTCTATGGACGGAGGAGCCTGGCGGGCTATAGTCCAGGGGGTCACAAGAGTTGGACATGACGGAGAGACTGACATTCTCACTTTTCTTCATAGCAGTGGTTCCAGGGGGGGTTGCTGATAAGGCTCAAGAATGTGTGTATTCCTTTAACCTGGCCTCAGGTGGTCTCTGGATGAGCTTCTGTGGTTCTTGTGGTTATCAAACTGACCTTCTCTCTGGAATGAAGACTGCTTCACCAAGTATTTCATCATCTTCCACTGGTTGGAGGTTTTAGTTCTGTAGAAGAGCTCAAAGCTACTATGATGTGTCTGCTGAGGCAGAGCCGGGACCCTGCCCCAAGGTGGCACTGTGGTTTCCGGGCTGCTCCTCTCCTGAGGGCCGTATCCCCTCCCCTGATCAGCAACTGTCTGAAAGGTTTCTGTGCCCACAGGGTCCTGCTCAATTTCAATTTGTGAAAAAATTAACACAAACAAGCCAAAGGAAGCCAACCTAATTCCCCCCATGATCCTCCCCAGGCCACTTATTTTCCTTTGTAGAGAAATGCATTTGTCCACACAAAAGTCCATCATCATCCCCACCTTGGTTTTCTTTCCTCCCGCAGGAGGAGGGGCTGTGTTTCCATTGGGTGCACTCAGCCCCCTTCACTGCATGTTGACTGTCTCATGCTGCACCATCTCCCCAGGCCCACGGCGCTCTCCCCTCTTCGCCCCTTGTCTCTTTCTTTCTGGACACGAGCTGGGGGTACACATCCTCCTCTGGCCCCCACTGGGTCCTTGCTTCTACAGGCTAAGCTGACCCAGCCCTCTCTTAGTTAAAAGGCATTATGCGTGTTTCTTTATGTTATTTCACAATCTACTCCAGCACCCCACCCCCAGCAAATTAAATTTGTTGTTGTTCAGTTGCTAAGTTGTGTCCGACTCATTGCGACCCCGTGGACTGTAGCCCACCAGGCTCCTCTGTCCGTGGAGTTCTCCAGGCAAGAATACTGGGGTGGGAAGCCATTCCCTTCTCCAGGGGACCTTCCTGATCCAGAGATCGAACCCAGGTCTCCCGCATTGCAGGCAGATTCTTTATCGCCTGAACCACCAGGGAAAACTCCACCCTGGAGCCGCTGCCATGAAACCCTTCACCAAACCCTCCCGGCTTGGGACACACAGTTTTGAGGGGCACAAGCCTGCTGGGTCCCCTTTTGTCTGGCAAAGCAATAAAGCTATTCTTTGATATTTCACCCCAAACTCTATCTTCAAGATTTGACTTGAAATCAGTACACAGAGGCCAAGTTCTGGCATCAAAATGAACATGTTAACTGGGGGCTAGGGATAGGTGTTCCCGACCATATGTCAAGTTAAGTCATAATTCAAAACATGGAAAAGCACTGATGGAGATCAAAGCAGCTTGGAGAGAAAGAAGGTTCCAGAAGGAAGGGATGGACAAGGAACCTAATGATCGAATCATGGTAAAGACAAGGCACCAGACGTCAAGGGTTGCCCACACAAGCAGACGAACATAGGAAGACTTTAGGGACGACAAGGTGCCGCCTGGGCCCACAGAGTCATGAGATAAACTTCACACCTGAGGGGCTCAGAGGGATGTCAGCACACCCTGAGTGTTAGGCAAGGATGGGGAACTGGGTTGTGACGGCAGGTTCAGGGGGTATTGACTGGGTATCTGAGGCATTCATGGCTTTAGGCATTTCACAAAAGTGAAGGTACTGAGTCCTTGCAAGAAGCAGAGGGAGTGGGCACTGGTTACAGCCAGGGAAACCAAGGCACAGAAGCATCAAGCCCCTCGCCCTGGATCCAAGGACCATGAGTTAAGTGGGCTGTGGGGCATAAAGGGGCAATGGTGACTCTTAGTTCAGAGTGGACCACAGCATCTGGCCTGGCGGGCACAGAAGACGCTGTATGACTCAGGCTGGAAGGAGCCAGAAGAGATGTCCCCTGGAAGCCTAAGGGCTGGATTTCATGTCGCATCAGAGGGAAGGGCAATGGAGGGCTGACACATGGAGGAACTTAGAGCAGGCCCAGCTCGAAATGGGGTGAGCTCCCGTCAGTGGGGACATGCGGGGGCCCTCGCCCTTACCATGATGCCGGTGAGCAGGCACACGCCCTTCCCGCAGTAGGTGTGGGGCACCATGTCGCCGTAGCCGATGGAGAGGAAGGTGATGGAGATGAGCCACATGGCCCCCAGGAAGTTGCTGGTCACTTCCTGCTTGTCGTGGTACCTGAAGGGGAGCCAGGAAGAGTGTAGTCAGTCCACACTGGTCCCTCTGCCTTCATCACAGCCCCAGGGGCCGTGCCAGAAGGCAGAGCCCTGGGTCCATCTGACTGCACGGGGGCCTTGACTGCAGGAAGCTGACCACGCTGGAGGCTCAAAGTGTCCAAAGCGTTGCTTCAGGGAAGTGTGGGGCAATGGTTAGTAGCCAGGACAGCCCCGTGGTCCTCCTGAGGATACCACAGGGCAGAGGGCACCCATACCTCCTCCCAGCATCCCTTCCAACACCCTCCATTCCCCTGACTGCCAAGCTGCTCGTTATGGGGCAGTAAGGGGTCCAGGGGAGGGAGCGTCCACATGTGTCCACGCATAAGCACACGATCCCCCTCCCAAAGACAGACACACAGACATATGCAAACACGGGTGGCCATGGGCACCAGAAGCGGCAGGAAGTAGAGGCAAGGATTCAAGTCAGACACCAGGAAGAACTTCCCTAATCAGCAAGGCCCTGAGGAGGGAGGAGGACTCCACAGGGGGACAGACGCCTGGAGGAGCAAGCCCTGGGGATGGGAGTCCTAGGACAGTCAACACGTGGAGGGCAATTGCTCCAGCTTCAGGCCTGAGAATCTTCTGGTGTTAGGAGGGAAAGGAGGCAGCATGTTTAGCTCTGGGGAGAGACCTGGGACTCAACTTTTGTTATTCAAGAGAACAGATTCCAAGGCCTTGCAAAGGGACATGATTTTTCCCAGTCAAAGCCAAGCCTGAGACCCTGGCTGCACAGGCTACGAACTGGTGCTACCTATGGTCAGCCCAGGATGACCACAGAGGCTGAGGGACTGGTGCTCTGGATCTGGGGGTGGCTCAAAGCTTTGCTCCAGCCCAGTCCCCTGCCTGCAAAACCCCTCCAGCTCGGGGAGGTCAGGAAGCCCTTCCCACATGACCCCTCTCCTTTTGGGCCACAGAGGCTGGGCAGGGGGAGCTCCTGGGGAGGGCTGTTCCAGGCAGAGGGGGCTGGGGTCAGGCGCTCAAGATAAGGAAGAGATGGAGACTTCCCTGGAGGTCCAGTGGTTAGGACTCCGAGCTTCCAATGCATGGCACACAGGTTCAATCCCTGTTCAGGGAACTAAGATCCCACATGCCATGGGGCGTGACCAAAAAAAATTTTAAAAGACAAGGAGGAGATGGAAACCCAAAAGGTGGGAAGGAGGGATGGAGGCCTTTCCGTTCAGCCTGGGCTTCCAGGCTGCCTGCTGGGTGAGGGGCGCCAGGGACAGAGCCTCGTCTTTCACTGTGGCACCTGAGCCTGAAGCTGCACCAACTCCCACTTCTCCAGAGACCAGCACCCCACACCCAGGAGGCAGGAGGAGCCAGGAACCTATCAGCCGTCGGCCATGGGCGCGGAGGCTCCAGGCCCGGCTGGAGCTCTGGTGGGGGCTACAGGGTCACCCCGGACCAGGGAGTTGGGGGCATGCAGGAGGTGGGGTGGGACAGAGCCACGGGGGTGAGCGAGGCGGGCGAGGGGGCGTCAAGCGGGGTCTCATCTCAGGGCTCAGAATTTAGGATTGGCTGCCCCTGGCCTTGCCCCGTGCCCCGCCCTCACCAGGCGCCCCTGCAGTGACCCAGCCTGGACCTCAGCCATGCCTGCACCCTCTCCCACTCCCCAGCGCCCAGCCCTCGGGTCTGTGGGAGCTGGCACGCAGGCACATCAGGGGAATAAGGAGCCCTCACGTGACCCTCAGCCTTGGGGACGGGAAGAGCTGGGCCCTCTCTGCCAGGAGCCCCTCATCAGGCGGAGGCGGGGTGGGGGAGGGTACAACTGAAGGGGTGAGGATTGGGGTTCTGGGGACAGGTCCGGCCCAGGGACCTCCCAGGAAGCCCAGTGCCAGCACCACCCATTACAGCCCCTACCCAGCTCATCAAGAGGCAAGAGAGATCCCCTCCTAGACAAGGCATTTCCCTGCCCTGAGAGATCCAGGGGGACCGTTCCCCCTCCATGAAGCCCCGGGGGAGGGAAGCAGGCATTGGGCCCTCAGGGTGTCCCTTTAGCTCCTCAGAGCCTCACTGTTCTCATCTGTAAGTTGGCTAGATGGCCCTGCACCGTCCAAGGCCCGTATGGGGGTCTGAAAAGCTGGGACTGTGCTTGTTCATCCCAGACCCACTGAAGGAGCGGTCCCTGCCCCCTGGGGCCAGCCGCCTCAACAAGGCACCAGAGCTAAGCTCCTCTTCCCTCTGCTCCCTCTGCTGCCCCCTTCTTGGTGGCAAGGGCCGAGGGATGCCCAGAGCAGCAGGCCCGAGAGTGGCCCAGGCCCACCTGGCTGGTGGCACTGGGCAGCTCTCCCCACGGCCCGTGGGCTCGGGGCGGGTCCCGGACACCCGCCTCCCCTTTCTGCTCCCTCCCCCGGTGGCAGCTGATCTTAAATTCCTGGCGGGCAGGACAGCTGGCAGCTTTGCACACATAGGTCGGCTGAGGGTAGGACTCACATGTTTTCCCTACAGTCCGGCAGGGTGGGCAGAGGGGAGAAGGAGAGCAGGTTAAATTGTGGGGGACGCAGGTGGATGGAGGGGGCCCCTGTTCCTGCTGCCTCCACCACCCTGGGCCAGAGACGGGGCCAGTGGAGGGGCCCCTGGAGGGAGGGAAAGCGGGAAGAGGGATGGGGTCCTGGAGGGGTGAGGGTCAGGGTAGGAGCTGGGGTTGGCTGGGGACACAGGGCTGGAGTCCCAGGGATGAGGAAGCTGCATGTGAGAGACAGTGGCTGAGGCCAGGAACCGGGGGGAGGGGTCAGCAGGATCAGGGGTCACGGGGATGGAGCCATGGGTGGGTACGGGTTCAGCAGGGTCAGAGTGGCGGCTGGGGGAGCCCTGGGGTCACTAAAATCGTGGATGGGCCTGAGGGTCATGGGGGGTCAGGGCCCAGGGGGTCAGGGGCGCACCTCTCGCAGACCCGCACGGTCCAGGCAGCGATGATCCAGGAGGAGATGCTGAAGACCAGGAGCACAGTGCCTGGGCAGATGGTCATGAGCGTCTTCATGACGAAGCGGGTGTTGAAGGTGATCTTGTTGAGGGCTCCGATGCTGCGGCTGGAGGCATCCGTGAAGATCTTACTGTGCAGCAGCATGACGCGGCCCAGCAGGTAGAGGCGCAGGAACATGGGCACCGACAGCAGCACGTCCACGTCGGCCTCGGCCGCCGACGGCGCGTACGTGAAGGCCAGCCGTGCCGTCCACGTGAAGCGGTAGTGGCCGGGCACCGGGTGGATGGCACACACCGCCAGCTCCAGGGAGATGAGGAACACGCGCTCGCACGTCATGGCGATGCGCCAGTCGTCCGCCCCGTTGTCCACCATGAACAGCTGCGGAGATCAGGCGGGCAGGATGCAGTGGGTGCTGGGCACATGCCCAGGCCACAGAGGGAGATCCCAGCCCCAAACCACATCTGCTTTTACAACAAACACGGCCTCACAGGCGAAACCCCCTAGTGCTCAGGGTCGGCCACAATTCAAGCTAAAGAGGGCACAGGTGTTACCCCAAAAGTCAAACACAGAGTTACCAATGACCCAGCCCTCCCATTCCTAGGTATATGGGAGAGAGAGATGAGAACAGTTATTCAAACACATCCTGTGTGCGTGCAATCACAGTAGCACTGTTCACAGGCGCCCAACGTAGAAACTACCCAACGTCCATCCAGGGATGCAGAGAGAAACAGAATGTGGTCCTTCCACACGTGGAACGTGTCCCAGCCAAGAAGAGGAGTGCAGCATGGGCATGCTACTCCGTGAAGACATCATGCTGAGTAAAAGAAGGCAGTCACAAAAGGCCACCGACTAGGGTGAAGGAGGCAATGCTGCCACCTCAGGAGGCCTGGAAGGTGGGGCGCTGAGCCAATGAGCATCATTCTCCAACCTTCACACCCAATGGAATTTGCCTGGGCAGGTCTGAGACAAGTTTAGGACCTGTCACTCCTCTCCTTGCACATTTTTCGGCTTCAGGGATGGGAATGTCTATCCTATGCTAGTCCCACCACTGTACTGTGGAAGCACACAACTTATCTGATACACAGCTGGAGGAACATTATGTCTCCAGAGGAACTGTACCTCAAGTCTCACCCATGTTTGTTTTAGATGATACTTAGCCTGCCAATCTAGGAGATGCAAGAGACGCGAGTTTGATCCCTGGGTCGGGAAGATCCCCTGGAGTAGGAAACTGCAACCCGCTGCAGTATTCTTGCTGGGATAATCCCATGGACAGAGGATCCTGGCGGGCTATACAGTCCATGGGGTTGCAAAGAGTCAGACACAACCGAGTAACACAACACACACATGTAAATATAATCTTTCTTTTTTCCTTTGACCGCATGGCACAGTACGTGGGATCTTACTTCCCTGACCTGGGATCGAACCTGGGCCCCTGAAGTACAGGTGTGGATTCTTAACCACTGGACCACTGGGGAAGCCCCTAGATGATATTTAAAGGAGATTTTGAACTTTGAGTTGATGCTGGAATGAGTGAAGACTTCGGGGGCTGCTGGGATTGATGCATTTTGCGTGGGAGAAGGATATGGATTTGGGAGGTGGGCCAGAGGGTGGGGTTATGGACTGAACTTTGTCCACTCAATATTCAACTGCTAAGGCCCTAGCCCCCAATACGACTATATTTGGAAATAGGGCCTTTAAAAATATAATCAAGATTAAATGAGGTCATAGGGGTTGGGCCCCCATCCTACAGGACTGGTGTCATTCTAAGAAGGGTATATACAGGGGTATATGTGCATAGAGGGGTGTATGTGAATAGAGCAAAGGCCATGAAAGGTCACAATGAGAAGACAGCTGCCTGCAAGTCAAGGAGAGAGCCTCAGGAGAAACCAACCCTGCCAGCACCTGACCTTGGGCTTCCAACCTCCAGAGATGTGAGAGAATACATGTGTGTGTCAGTCATTCAGTCATGTCTGACTCTTTATGACCCCGTGGACTGTAGCCCGCCAGATTCCTCTGTCCATGGGATTTCCCAGGCAAACATACTGGAGTGAGTTGCCATTTCCTTCTCCAGGGGATCTTCCCAACCCCGGGATTGAACCCAGGTCTCCTGCATTGCAGGTGGATTCTTTACTGTCTAAGCCACCAGGGAAGCCCATGAGAAAATATACTTCTGTTGTGTAAGACGCTCGGCTGTGGTGCTGCAAACATACATCGCTTCATTCTTTTCTGTTTTGCTGAATAGTACACCATTGTATGGATGGACCACCATTCGTTTATCCATACATCAGTCAATGGACATTTGGGGGGTTTCCACCTTTAGGCAACTGTGAATAATGCTGCTCTGAACACGTGGGTACACGTTTTTGTGTGGATGTAGTTGTTTCTCCTGGGTGTGAAACTTGGGGTGGAATTGCTGGGTCATATGGTAACTCCATGTTTAACTGTTTGAGGAACCGCCAGGCTGCTGTCCCCAGCTGTCCCTTTAGAATTGCTTCCTTCACTTCAAGGGTCACCATCCTCATACCCCAACCCCTAGCCAGACTGAGGACCCCTCCCATGTACCAGACTCTGGGTGTCCACTGACAGGTCTGCATACAGTACAACCTAGGTAGGATTTTCCTACACCCACCTCCTGCCAGGCTGTGGCTCCTTGAGGTCAGGGGTCATCAAAGGCCAGAGTCAGAAGCCAGATCTGACCCCCTTTGGTGTCCCCGGGCCCTGGTGCTGGCCTGTTGTGGTAACACCTGCCTTACAAGCCCTGAACTTGGCTCTCCAGGGACCTGACCAGCTTTTGATCAACCCCTGAAATAGAAGAATCCCTGGCACATGAGAAATCTTTCAAACACAGGTCCAGTGGACTAGGAGAAGGAGCCTGGTGCAACAGACACTGGACTCCGTGGCTGCAAAACCTCAGAAGACCCCAGGGCTGCAAAAACAATCCACATGCACCTCAGAACCCCAGCCCACTGCCTGCTCTCTCACTGTTTCATCTTCTTTACCAAATTATCGATGAAAATTAAAATGATGACAGGCATTCCAGGAAATTTAGAGTGATCTAAACAGTGTGTTTCCATGGAGATCTCCCCCACCCCCCCTTCTAGAAAGTGGCTATTGATCTTTCTGTTTTAGAGGGTTCCCAGGTCCTGGGGGCTTCCCAGCTGGCGGTAGTGATAAAGAACCCGCATGCCAGTGCAGGAGATGCAAGAGACGCGGGTTCAATCCCTGAGTTGGGAAGATCCCCTGGAGGAGGAAATGGCAACCCACTCCTGTATTCTTGCCTGGAGAATCCCATGGACAGAGGAGCCTGGCAGGCTATAGCCCAAAGGGTCACAAAGAGTTGGACACAACTGAACGTGCACGCATGAAGGTGGCTGGTGTGGGGGGCTCTGGGGTGCAGAGAGGGGAGCTGTCCTAAGCCCACTGAGCACTGACCTGGATCTCTCGGGCATGGTAGAGGATGACCAGGCCCAGCAGGATGACCGTGGAGAGGCTGATGAGGCATTTGAGTGCAAATGAGTACAGGGATTCCTGGGCAAAGAGAAAGCAGAGTGCAGGACAGACACTGTGGAGGTGGGCAGCCCTCCTGACCCCCCGACCTGGTCACTTCGCTTGGGAAATGAAGCTCCGGTCCTTACTCCTTAGGCTTGGGCGCACAGCAAGGTGGCACTTCAGTTTATAAGGCCAGGCCTCACGTGGGCACAGCACTTCATAGTTTATAAAACCAGGCCTCGAGCAGACGCAGCACTTTACAGTTTACAGGCTGACTTAGCTCTCATCTCCCTCCGTCCTGGGATCCACTTGGGGGACCCACAACCAGGCTCATAACCTGGCCCAGCTGGCCTTCGAAAGGAGCAAAGTTCCTTCCCTGCTCCTCAAAGCAGCTCTTCTCTGGTGCTCCCCTGTCTCCTCTGGGCCTGACCCGGAAGCAGCCCCCTTCCCGCCTTCAGCGAAAGCGCAGCCCCACAGTGCAAGATGCAGGGAAGGGGCTGGAGACGTCAGGCCCCACCCGAGGCCTTCCTGCTGCCCCCAGGGGGTGGAAACAACAGGAGGCCCTGGGTGCCCCCCACCTTCCCACCTCCAGGGTCCCCTCGGCGTTCCCCGCCCCCCTCCCCTAGGGCCGATGTGGTCCCAGACCCCAGGCCCAAGGGGGTCTCGGGGAGCCAGGCGGGACCAGCAGGGCCTCCCCGGGGGGCAGGGGGAAGGGCCAGGCCTACCTTGGTGTAGACCCCCCAGGACAGCTCCGTCTCTGTCACCATGACAACGATGCCGAACATGCCAAAGATTAGGGCATAGTCACTGAGGCGCTTCCGCTTCTCAAAGAGCGCCCTCCGGTGGCCCAGGCGGTGGCCGACGCTGGGGGGCTTCCTTGAGCCCCTCTGTCTGACTGCCTCATCTTCTTCCTCATCTTCCTCCTCTTCCTGGTCCTGGGGCTGCCCCCGGGGGCTGCCAGGCGAGGGCTGCGCCGGCTCGCTCTTGGCCACCACCACCTGGATGCCTGGGCCATTTGGAGGCTGCGGGGGGTGGCCGGCCTCGGGGTCCAGAGGATCTCGGCCCGGGGCACCCAGCCCGCCACCTAGCGGCCGTCCCTCGCAGCCACTGTGTCTGTGGCTGTTCATGACTATGTGGGTGCTGACGTTGGGCTTGCTGCCGGCCGCCTGGGGCCTGGCATGGCTCAGCCACCGGGCTCCCGCGCTGACCTGCAGGGCACAGGGAACACGGTCATGTCAGGGCCTGGCCAACTGACCAGATGGCTAGGGACCCCCACCCCAGAAACCAAGCCAACCTATGCCCCTCCTCGGCTCAAAACCTCCACATAGGACGCCCTGGGGGTCCAGGGGTTAAGAATCCGCCTCCCAATGCAGGGGATGTGGGTTCGATCCCTGGTCGGGGAAACAAAGATCCCATACGTTGCAGGGCAACTAAGCCTTCACGCTGCGGCTACAGAGCCTACGCACTCTGGAGCCCACATGTCACAACTAGAAAGAAGTCTGTGGCCCACAACGAAGAGCTCAAATGCCGCAACTAAGACCCAATGCAGCTAAAAATAAGTAAATAAATATAAAACAAAAACAAACCTCTCCGTGGCTCTCCAGCACGATTGGATAAAAACTCCTCACTGTGGCCAGGAGGCCTCTATCGTCTGGCTCCTATCCACCTTATCCTTCTCACTTTCCCAGAGTCACTCCCTTTCAGCCACACTGACCTCCCCATCACCAGGTTCCAGCAAGCTTGGTCCTGCTTCAGGGCCCTTGCACACTCTGAGGCGCCTGCTGCACCCTCTGCCTGGAACACCTTCCTACCAGATCTTTGCCCGATGATTTTTCTGTGTTTCCAAGTACCTAAAGCAATGGATGCTAAAAGCAATAAACACCTAAAGCAATAAACACAGGCGACACTCAGTAAACACCTCTGAAAGCCTCAAGATGGAATTCTGCCGGCTGGTTTGCCTGGGAGGATTAGAGGCCACCTAAATGAGCCGTCTGGAACCACCTTAAGGTGGTCTTAAGATAAGACCACTTTACCTTAGTGTACCTGTCTCCTGAGAAACTTGTATGCAGGTCAAGAAGCAACAGTTAGAACCAGACGTGGACTGGTTTGAAATTGCGAAAGGAGTACGTCAAGGCTGTATACTGTCACCGGGCTTATTTAGCTTATATGCAGAGCACATCATGAGAAATGCTGGGCTGGATGACTTGCAAGCTGGAATCAAGACTGCCAGGAGAAATATTGACAACCTCAGATATGCAGATGATACCACTCTAATGGCAGAAAGTGAAGAGGAACTGAAAAGCCTCTTGATGAAGGTGAAAAAGAAGAGTGAAAAAGCTGACTTGAAACTCAACATTCAAAAAACTAAGACCAAAAAAAAAAAAAAAAAACTAAGATCATGGCATCCGGTCCCATCACTTCATGGTAAAAAGAAGGTGGAAACAGTGATAGATTTTATTAATATTTTCTTGGGCCCCAAAAGCACTGTGAATGGTGACTAAAGCCATGAAATTAAAAGACACTTCTCCTTGGAAGGAAAGCTGTGACAAACTAAGACAGTGTATTAAAAAGCAGAGACATTACTTTGCTGACAAAGGTTCATATAGTCAAAGCTATGGTTTTTCCAGTAGTCATGTAGGGATATGAGAGTTGGACCATAATGAAGGCTGAGCATTGAAGAACTGATGTTTTTGAATTGTGGTGTTAGACAAGACTCTTGAGAGTCCCTTTGACAGCAAGGAGATCAAACCAGTCAATCCTAAAGGAAATCAGTTCTGAATATTAATTAGAAGGACTGATGCTGAAGCTGAAGGTCCAATACCTTGGCCACCTGATGAGAAAAGCCAACTCATCAGAAAAGACCCTGATGCTAGGAAAGACTGAAGGCAGGAGGAGAACGGGGGGCAACAGAGAATGAAATGGTTGGATGGCATCACTGACTCAATGGACATGCATTTAGAAAAACTCCAGGGGATAGTGGGGGACAGGGAAGCCTGGCGTGCTGCAGTCCATGCAGTTGCAGAGAGTCAGGTACGACTTAGCAACTGAACAGCAAGTGAGCTGTCAGGAGATGGTTCCAACCCAGGCTTGTCTCCTGACTTCTGGAACCTTGGACAAATTAATCTCACTCTACTGAGCCTCCAATTCCCTACCACTACCATGTAGAGTTGTCCAAAGGCCTGAACTTACTTACACAGTCAAAGGGTATGGCCAGGGAGATATTAGGGACCGTGACTATGGCTATGAGACCCTCAGCTCCCTCTTGCCTGGATTCCAGGACCAAAGGAACAATCCAGGATTTAATTCTAAGATCCCAGAATTGAGGAATGCCCTGGCAGTCCAGTGGTTAGGACTCTGTGCTTTCACTGCTGAGGGCCCGGGTTCAATCCCTGGTCAAGGAACTAAGACCCCACAAGCCAAGGTGTGGCTAAAAATAAAGACATAAAATTTAAAAAAGAAAAAGATCCCAGGGAATTCCCTGGAGGTCCAGGCACCAGGACTCTGTGCTCTCACTGCTGAGGAACGGGTTCAATCCCTGGTTAGGGAACTAAAAACCCTGTAAGCCATGTGATGCAGTCAAAAAAAACAAAAAGATCCCAGCACCTTGGTCTGGTCCTGCGACCTTGGGCCAGCCTCAGTTTCCCCACAAAGGAAACTGGCTACTGAGAAGCAGACAGGCTGATATGCTCTGACACCCTCAGATTCTGCGCCTGCCTGGGGCCAGGCCCCGTGTGCCACATGCAGAAGCAAGGACCTTGACGAAGGTGACATGCACAGGATGGGGCTGCCTGCAGTCCAGCCTTGCCAGACCGTCCACTGGTCCACCCCAGCCCACGCCCTCACTCCTCACCCCCACGGGCACCCCCAGCTGCCACCACAGCCTGAGTTTACTGAACACCCACTACATGGCAGGCTCTGTCCTTCACACAGAGTTTTCTCCTTAATTCTCACAACATCCCCCAAAAAGGGGTCCTAGGATTTGGCCTGTTGTACAGATGGGGAAACTGAGGCACCAGTTTCCCTTCACTGTGCGGTGAAGGGTCCGTCTCCTTACAAGGCAGATTCCGCATCAGGCTGCCTTGTGGGATTCTCCCAAGAAGCCAGGCAGCAGTGGGCTGTGGGTCCAGTGCTGTCCTCTTGGGAAAGGCTAAGCTAGCATGTGCTGGGGGCTCGGGCGAGGGGGCTGCGTGCAGAGACGAGACACCTCCCTGGCCCTGAAACCACACTCCTGGGGGTGAGAGACTCAGACAATGTCACACCAGGACACACCACGATGAGCAAGGTTGCCAGGCGAGACACGGATGACCTTGGCCAGGGCACCAACCACCGCACTCCCTGCAGGACTACCTGTGTCCACGTCCACGCCGCCCCCAGACAGTACATGTCCCCAGACGAGGGTGCCAGCACACAGGAAGAACCCGAGAAGCATGAGTCTTAGGGCACGTCCCGCTTCCATCCATCCTCCCCACCAGGCTGTGGCCACCTGTGACCTGACACTTCACAGTTTATAGGAGCTGGCCCCCCGTGGGCCCAGGACATTACAGTTTGTACGGGCTGATCGCCTGCAGGCCCAGCACTTCACAGTTTATAAGGCTGATCTTGGCCCTGATCTCTTTGTCCTCACAAGCACTCAAGTGCCACTGTCTTCTGGGGTGTCTTCTACTGTCTTCTACGGTCCCTGCTTGCCACCTGAAGGGCGTGAGCTGCTAGGTGGGGCTAAGAGCCTGCCCCCAGGACACACGCCGCAGCCCCAGACCTGCTCTTCCCCAAGAGACAAGGAGACCTCAGACAGCCCTCCCACCTCCCCTCCTGAAGGTGCAGAAGAGCCCCTGCCCAGGGCTTGAGGAAAACAGGCAGGAGAGGGGATGGCCTGGCAGACAGGACGGGGAGGGGGCGGGGGCGCTGCAAACGACCTTCTGAAATGCACCGATGAAGATGCAATTTGGGGATGTGACTCAGCCACCTAACACACAGGCCAAATTCAGCCACGCGGCGGCCATGCTCCTCCTTGCCTGGCAGCCGCGTCCTGACATGCCCTGGGCAGAGAGGGAGTGGGGTGGGGCATGCGGATAGGCAGCAGGTGACTTCCAGGAGGGCGGAGGCCTGGAGGGCCTTCCTAGGGCCCATCACGTTAATGCAGTTATTTGCGACTTAGTCGCTCAGTTGTGTCTCTTTTGCGACCCCGTGGACCATAGCCCGCCAGGCTCCGTTCGTGGGATTTTCCTGGCGGACCAAGACCTTGATCAGAATTACTGCATTTAATCCCTATGGCTACTCAGCGAGGCAGGTGGCATTCTTACTCACATTTCACAGATGGGAGACAAGACTCAGAGAGGTTCAGCATGTTGCTCGAGGTCACACAGCCAGGAGGGGCAGGGTTAGCTAAGTTAGTGCAGTCTGGGGTTGGCAGGATCTGCCTGGATCCCTCTTGACCAGAGACTATTCGGAAAGGGAGCCAGTCTGGCGCAGCCCTTGAGGGGCCACAGAGCTCAGGGCACAGGAGTGGTGGCCGTCTGACACCTCCCACGACCTCACAGGAAGTGGAAGGACAGAGAGGCCTGCCAGAGATCTCATGGAGGAAGGGGCTGGCCCATAATCTAAAGACTGGGTGGGACCAGAGGGCCTTGGGCCCAAGAGACCCCACTCCTCCCCAAGTTCACCTTCTCCTCCCTCATTGCAACCTGGGCCTAAAAGTGGGGTCCCCAGGATCCTCAGAGTTTTCCCAAAGAACCAGAAACTCCTATAAAACCCCAGCCAAGGTTTCGATGTCCATGAAAGGGTGTGGTTTTCTGGGTGAAGGCCCCGAGTTCTTCAAGGACTTCTAAAAAGGGAGAAACACCCTGTGGGCCGTATTTGGTTTTGAAGGTTCTTGGAATTGCTAAAATTGTCTCACATGTCTGGGGCACAAGACCTCTGTTCCCTGAATGCTGAGGTAAGGAGATGAGCAGACCCTGCCTTCTGCACTATTTCAAGAGATACTGTGGGAAACCTGTAGGCCAAGCGGGGCAGGGGGAACCCAGGAAGGCTCTTGAAGCAGAGAAGAAAGTGTGCAGGCAGCAGGGACCAAGGAGGCCAGCTCCTCTGAACTTTCCCACCCAACAGGAAGAGAAAGAAAATGACCAGACAGCAAAGGAATGAGCTCTTTTACAAATGATGGGTTGATTACAGAGGGACCTTTGGGTGTTCCAGCCAGGACGAGGTCACGGCCACTTCCTCAGCTACTTCTTTAGTAACGGGGCATCTTAGTGCCAACCCAGCAGGGTCGGTGACCAGAAAGAAATGAGATCTCACGTGGAAAATGCCTAGCACACAGTCATGGGTACGTTGTGGTGCCACTGCCCAACACCACAATCTGTCCTTCAGAGCTGGACCAGGAGAAAGTACCCCCTGCCCATTACTCTCAAAGGCAGAGCCTCCTTGGGGCAAAATGCCCACCTCACTGCTCCCAGGAACTGTGGACAGAGCAGCACATGGCAGAATCTTGTAGGTTTTGTGGGCAAGTTGTGGGCTGTGTGTCCCTGTGGAGGGTAGGGAAGGACCCCAAAACACTCCTCCACCATCACTCTTCAGGCCCCAGCTCTGCTGGGCGGACAGGATCCATTTGTCCTCCCACCCTATGGGCTGTTGGAGAGTGGGTACAGCAAGTCGTTGGCTGACTGCCCCATCCCTTACACATTCCCCCCTTCACCACCCATCAGGGTGCAATTAGCCTGCCCTAGCTTGCTCTCCCCAGCGCCCTCCACTCTGATGCGTCTCCATCAGCATCTCTGGCTCACCCCCAGCCTCCAGCACTCACATCTGAGGCCCCACCCTCCAGGACAGCCAGAACAGTGCGCTGTGCTGGGTACCCGACCTCTGTCCTGGGAGAGCTAGGGGGCCAGTTTTACGAACCCTGCCATGCTGCCCCTAACGGCTGGACACAAGGGCCAGTGGTGAGGGTCTCGTTCCTCGCATCCCCAAGCCAGTCCTGGGTCACTGCCTCCACCCCGAGAGCTCCCCCACCGTATCTATGGAGTTGGGAGACTCAGTGCTCTGCCCCCGCCAAAGTGAACCCAGTACCCTCCCCCTCCAGGATGGGGATCCGTGAATCGACTCACTCGGGCAGTGCACATATACACAGTCCCCCACTGCCATGTCCTCTCGGTTGCGGACCCCACGGACATCCTCCCTCCTGGCCCCTGCCCCAAACGGCATCTCACTCTGGGACATGTCTCCCTGGGTACCCCGGTCCATACCGCTCAGTACCTGCGGGACGCGGCTCGGGCGGCCGGACGAGGCTGGGACGGAGAGGGACCCACGCGGCCACGGACCCCCAGGTCGGGGCCGGGGCCGGGGCTGCGGACGGGGCGGGCAGCAGCGGGCAGGGGCGAGGCCCCGGGGCGGTGGGGCCGGGGGTAGCGGCAGCGCTCGCATCCCCCGCCGCCCTGTACACGGGCCCGGCCGGGGGGGCGAGCTCCCGCCCGGGCCGGGAGAGGAGGGGGCGGTGCGACGCCAGCGGCGCGGCCGATTGGCCGAGCCCGGGTTGGCACCGCCCCCGGCGACCCCGCAAGCCCCGCCTTCATTTAAAGATCCCTCATTCCCGGGCGCCCCCTTCGCCCCCCAGCGCGCGGCTGGTCCTCAAACTCACCTGCCACGCGCGATGGAGAGGACCATGGCGAAGCGAAAACTCCCGTCCTCGAGAACTCCTAACCACCCGTTTTCCAAAATCAGGTCCCCAAACTCCAGCCACCTTTCAACATTTGCGCACCTGGGGGCTGATCACAGCACGCACTTGCGGGGGTGACAACTCTGCAAAGTGACTGGCCACCTCCCTCCTGAAACGACCTCGTCAAACTTCCGCTCTGTGTGTGTGGCGGGGGGTGGGGGATGGGGGGTCTTGGAGTGGGGAAACAAGATGATGGCAAGTAGAAAGTGCCTTGGAGCTGGGTGTGGGGGCTTTCAAGGCTGGGGGTGGGGGGTGCTTGCTGGGGCAAAGGCCATCTTCTTTGAGAGGAGAGAATCCACTCAGATTTAGCCCCCTCCCCCAGTCCTAAACTCCCCAAACCAATGCCAGGATGGCAGGCCAACAAGAGATTATTTTTTGGGCCCCCCAAATGCTGCCCCTTTCCCCTGGTACTGAGGATGACCTTGGGCAGCACTCATTCAATGTTCATGGAAGCTCAGAGGAGCCTTGGGGACTGGAAGGTGGAGAGCCCTTACCTCCTCCTTTCTCAGGCAGCCTCACCACCTCAGCCTCACCCTATCCCCACCCTGTCACCTGGATGACTGAACCTGACTCTGTCCTCCCCGGCCTGAGGGCTCCTGGAGGCAGCAGTGCCCCCATCTATTTTCCTCTTGGCCCTGAGCTTTGGGCCAGATCAGAAACATCTGGCTGCTCATCACTGCCTCGGGGAAGCTGTCTGTTCTTTCTGTGGTGCCCAGAAAATAGCTGGGCTGAATGAATGAGTGAGTGGACAGTGGCTTGGGCAGGGCTAGTCCCAGGGGTCAGTGATGGAGGTGAGGGTGAGTGCAGCCAGGTGATGGGTGGGGGGTCAACAGATGGGACTCCTAGTCCCTTATCTCCAGAGCCTGTCCTTGATCCCAGCCTGCTGGGAGCACCCTGAGGAAGGCCTAGCCACGGTCTATGCTAGTTGGGAAGCAGAGGCCTGGGGACCCCAGGCCCTGTTGTGTCCACAGGGGCTCCGGGACTGGGGTTTGGGAACCGTAAGGGGATGCATTCTCAAACATGCTTCATCCTGCCTCCCTCCATCCACTTACCAGCCCCCCTTCCCAGTCCTCCTCAGACTCCCCTCAGCTTACTCCAGGCTTTGCACTTGCTGTTCCCTTGCCTGAGCCACTGGGGCCTCTTTCTAAAGCACAACAGTGATGGAGCCACCCACAGCTCCCTCGGGGTCTGGCACACATCCCTGTGTCGCATTCAATGCCCTGGCCCCTGACAGCCTGTGCCTGCCCCCGTATGGGTCCCTGCCCCACAAAGAGCATTCTCGTCGCGCCTGCGGATTGACCCAGGCTTGCACAGGCTGCTGTCATGCCCCTGCAGCACCGGGCATGTGTGCTCAGTTGTGTCCGGCTCTTTTGCCATGCCCCAGACTGTAGCGCATCAGGATCCTCTGTCCCTGGGCTTCTCCAGGCAAGAATACTGGAGTAGGTTGCTATTTCCTACTCCAGGGGATCTTCCCCACCCAGGGATTGAACCCTTGTCTCTTGCACTGGCAGATGGATTCTTATCACTGCGCCATCTGGGAAGCTGCTGCAGTATCGGAATGCTTTCTGAATTCAAGTCCACTGTGTAAACATCCAGTAATTCACAAGAGCATCGACCACAGACTGCAGAGGCCCCTCCAGTCCGCCCATCCTACCAGACCCTGCAGGCTCCGTATTTACCATCTCTCTCTCTCTCTCTCTAGAAAGATCCCTATCTCTCCTTTGGGCTCACATGTCCCAAGGGATCAGGAAATTCCTTCACGGAGCTGCATTTAGGACAGTCAATCTGGTGACCGATCCCCTCCTGCCCAAGTTGGCCCTGTTGTCTGCTTTAATCTCACGCCTCTGAGACAAGGCTGGCATTGGTGGACAGAGGTCAGGGGTGAATAAAGGTAGTGCTCTGGGCTTCCCAGGTGACACAGTGGTAAAGAACCCGCCTGTCAATATATGTTCTAACCCGCAGGAGATATATGTTCAACCCCTGGGTCAGGAAGGTCCCCTGGAGGAGGGCACGGCAACCCACTCCAGTGTTCTTGCCTGGAGAATCCCATGGACAGAGGGCCTGTCAGGCTACAGTCCGGGGTGGGGGCGGGGGTCACAAAGAGTCAGACACAGCTGAAGCAACTCCGCACACACTGAGTGGGATATAGCTGAGTTTCCATTCCAGAGCCTCTCAGCAGCCCACAGTTAGCTGGAAGGGGCTCAAGGAGCATGAACTTCAGCTGGGAGACCCTCAGGACTCAGGCCCCAGGAAATGACCTACAGACTGGTGAGGAGGTAGAGGCTAAACATGAAGCCCCTCCTTCAGGGCCCTGAGGTGTGGACCACAAGTTCAGCGCCATGGCTGTGGGTCTGGGTGCAGGAGACCTGGGAGAACCTCACAGAAACTGAAGCACGCAGAGGCAGAGGCAGTGGCCTGAGCTGGGGCAGACTGGCCACCTCTCCATCCTACCCGCAAGCTGCATATTCGAAGTCTCAGACCCATCCTGGGTCTAACCAATGATTGCCTCAAAGGAGGCGGGATCCTGAATCCCCTGTGAGTGTGGGAATGGCAGAGTGGGGAAGGTATTCACTCACTCTCTCATTCATTCATTTATCCACACATTCATTCATTCATTCACACATCCACCGAGTTTCTTCTCCAAGTGTGGTGCGGAGGATGCAGAGTCTGAGACAGGTATAATCTTCCCCTCTTGGAGTTGATCTTCTCGAGGAAGGGAACCTTTATGGGTAAAGGACTGGTAAGGCTTCCACACAAAAGCATGGGAGGGACTTCCCTGGTGTTCCAGTGGTTAAGACTTCAAGCTCGCAGTGCAGGGGACAACGGTTCGATCCCTAGTCAGGGAAGCAGATTCACATGCCACAACTAAAAGACCCTGCATGCCCCAATTAAACATTCCGCATGCTGCAACGAAGATTGAAGATCCCATGTGCCACACCTAAGACCCAGCACAGCCAAATAAATTAACTTAAAAAAAAGAAAAATGGACAAGCTTAAAAAAAAAAAAAGCATTGGAAAAGAATCCAGTGAAGTTGAGAAAAATGAGAGCGGAGGTGGGAGCCTTTAACTAGGGTGTTCTGGGGTGGCCTCTTGAAAGAAGGAACATTTGAAAGCAGGCCAAGAAGCCAGCCCTAGAGAAGCTGAAGAAGGGTGCACCCAGAGGAAGGCACTGCAAGGCCGAAGGCATTGGGGTGAGACCGCCGAGAAGGGTGTGATGGAGGAAGAGGAGCGAGACTGGTGGGGCTACAGTGAAGGAGTAAGTGGGCTGGGGGGAGTCACAGAGGCAAGCCACTCTCGGGGCTGTGTGGAGGACTCTGAGCAGAAAGGAAGTCGTGAAGGGTTTAGCTCCCTAGTGTCCTGGCAACCGTGGGGGTGGGGAGGCATTCCAGAGGGCTTGTTCCTGGGCTCTTCAGTATCCAGGGAGCCCCCACCCCCAGAAGTTTCATTCATTCTATCAGTATTTACTGAGCACCTCCTGTCTTCAGGGCTACTGTGATGACGAAGACACACAATATCCCCCAAACGCAGGGTTTCAGGCCAGTGGGCAAGATAAGATATTGAATCAATCAATAAATACAACTGGTGCTTGCAGATGGCTCACAGGGGAGACGATGCCAGGGAGGGGTGGGAAGGGACTGCGCCTGGCCTCCTCTGTTACTTACCACGGGCAGCCCACCAAGGAGTCCTCGGTCCCTACTCTGGAGGAGGAGATGGGAGCCTGGAGGTGGCACGCAGGCAGAGGAGGCTCTGTCATTAGCACAGAGTTCCCGTGAGCAGCAGGGAGACCCTCCATACCCACCAGGGGACCTGCCCTGGGGCTGTCTTGCTCATTCAGCTGGTAGCTGCATCCTTGCTCCAGACTCTAGCCTGCCCTCCCGCCCTTGCCACTCTCGGGCTCGAAGGCTCCAGACTAACTCTTCCTCCCCAGAGTGCCCCACATCTGACAGACCAGTCCATGATCACCTCTGAATTCATTCCAGCCCACCCCTCTGTCCCCATCCCTACAGCCCCTGCCTCGGCACAAGGCTTGATTCTGAAGCATGGTGCCCCGCTGTGTGGCTGTTTTGATTTGAACAGTATCCTTCCCCCTAATTCCAGCTCGTCCAGGATGTCAGAACAGGACCTTATTTGATCACATTATTGGTCTTTGCAGATGTAGTTAAATTAAGAGGAGGTCTTCCTGGTGGCTCAGACAATAAAGAATCTGACTGCAATGGGGGAGCCCCGGGTTCAATTCCTGGGTCGGGAATGGCTACCCACTCCAGTATTCTTGCCTGGAGAATTCCATGAACAGAGGAGTCTGATGGGCTACATTAGTCCATGAGGTTGCAAAGAATTGGACACGACTGAGCGACTAACACTTTTCACTTTCACGTACTGCATTAGGGTGGGTGCTAATCCCATGACTGGAGCTCTTATAAGACCACGTGAAGATACAGACATGCATACAGGGCAGAGGCTGTGTGAAGACAGAGACTGGAGTGAGACAGCCACAATCGATGGAATATCTGGAGCCACCAGAGGCTGGAAGAGGCCTCTCCGGGAGCCTCCAGAGGGAATGTGGCTCTACCATATCTGGATTTCAGACCGTTGGCCTCCAAAATGCGACAGAATACATTTCTGTTGTTTTAAGCCAACCACGCTTGTAGACATTTGTTATGGCTGCCCCCCAAAACTCATAGCATGGTCATGGACAAGGTGCTGTCCC